GAAGGTTAAATTCCATAACTCAGTGTGAAAACAAGGATTAATAACTGCCTGCCGCAGTTCAGGATCAGGGAATCTGGCAAATATTACGAAGGTGTTAAATTTCATATCACATCACAGAATTTCTGGTTTATTGGATAATCTCACATTCTGTTCAGTAATAATTTTCAGTTACTTGAAAATCATATGTATTGCTTGATTAATATTGTGACAGACCGCCTAGTGACCTGGACTGGTACATGTCTTCCAACCGCCACTTCCCTCCAAATAGACTGTAATCAACACTTTATACCACTCCAGCCTGTGCCTCCCATCCCAGCGCCCCTTTCCCGCGGTCCATGAGTCATCATAGGCCGAGGACCGGGTGAGGCAAGCAGACTGGGTGCAACCCTCAAACCCTCTGGAACTCCTGATCGAATCGCGGAGTTTCCGCAGTCTCATAAAAATTTTGACGAGGGCGTTCTCGGACCCAGAACCACCTATCAGGGCGCTATTTGGAAGGGTGACAGAGGGGGTTGTGAGGCATCTAGCTACATCAAGGACTTGGGGGAGCTGTATATACTAACAAAAAGTGCCACCATTTTAGGTGACCGGGATTTCTACCCAGTGCTGTGGAACTCTGCACCGGATCGGAGGACTGTCTTGGCCCTCTGATAACTTTATCTCCAGCTAACTCTAGCTAGACACCTCCGACTCGAGCGCTTTGTGGACAGAGTGGGCTCTCAGAAGAGAGCTTCTCAGGCACAGCATTATTGTGGGTATGTGGGCACGGCAATCCCGTTATTTTGTGCTTAATGTTAACCCAGTGCCACCAAGGCTCCAGGTATGTCGCAATGCCATTGTTCTCCTGGGGACCTCCTGCTGAGGTCCCAGGTATTCAAATGTGACCATTGTTCCAATAAAGCAGTTCTTCTTCACCCTTCACTAAGTCTTGGCTAGTGTTTGGGTGAGACAGCGATACACACAGCAGTATTGAGCTAAAACCACTCTGGGATATAATCACACAGGGGAAAGGGTACATTGGCGCTGAAAACTCAGCTTCTTGCGGGTATCAACCCACAAATATGTATCAATAAATCATAATATATCAAATCAGAGGAAAATTACAACACACACAGTCAGAGTAATTCGCTAAACCCTTACTTTTATATTATTTCTAATTTTAATAATTAAATTTGACTTTATATAACTCTGAAAGTAAAGTAAAATGATTTAGAAAATAAAATTTTCCCAGAATTCATCAGGAAACACTAGTGATGTCATAGATGAGGGACGTGTTGTAGATTTAGAGTCGGATCACTTCTTAAAAATTTCGATTTGTCTATTTCTCAGTCATAGAATGACAAGATCCCAATTTCTACATGTCCAAAAATGCACTATTTACATTTTTTTTGTAATTACTTTTTGCAATGAGTTTTATCTATTTCTGTGATTTGCCTTGACAAGATTACTCTGTAGTGGGGTTAAATTTTTTATGTTATTTACAGGAATTAAGCAAGTATGTATTTATTAGCAGATCTCACAGTGAGCATCCTGCAGATTGTTACAGACCTTCAATATTACGTTGGGAAATTTATGGGGTAAAAAAATGTTTTTTGAAAAATTGTGATTTGTGACTATTTGCCTGAATTAATTCACATTATTATTATTATTATTGGCATTTATACAGTGCCACCTTATTCCGCAGTGCTTTACAATATTATAAAAAAGGGACGTTTAACAATAAATGAGACAATTACAAAATGTTACTGCAACAATAGGTAGATACGGAATCTGATGGCGCTATATAAATAAGAAAATAATAAATAATAATGAGGACTCTGCTCAAACAAGCTTACAGTCTATAGCAGGTGGGGTATAAAACACATTAGGACAGGAAACAGCAATCAAATAAAATGGGAGTGATGCAGAGCTGGAGGGGAGAGTAAAGTGCTACCCTGTAGGAGAGAGCAAGAGACAGGTATGTGAGGTAGAGGTTAGTCTGGGAGGCCATAAACGTTCCTAAAGAGATGGGTTTTAAGCCACTTCTTAAACGATTAAAGACTAGAGGAGAGACTGATGGGGGTAGGCAGGCTAGTCCATAGGAAAGGATCTGCGAGAAGTCATGCAAGCGCGAGTTGGCCGTACGGGTGCGAGTAGCGGAGAGGAGAAGGTCACGGGCCGAGTGGAGAGACCGAGAAGGCGTATACCTATACCCTTGGTCAATGCTTTATAGGTATGGGTTAGCACTTTCAATTAACTCCTATAGAATACAGGAAGCCAATGTAAGGACTGACAGAGGGGAGAGAGGAGCAATACATAACAAATACATTAATATATAGAAATAGCCTGTGATTGTATGATTACTAATCTCCACTGAGTGGGATGAAATGTAGATTTTAGGCCAAAAATTAAGTGAACATTTGTTTTTACAATCCGGCTGTTTTGCAATTACAATTCCATTGTAATCTCCACTATTTTTCGTATAGCGAATAATCCCTATTCTGACATCAGCTATTGTATCTGTGAGAGGAAGCGCAGTAAGAGGTTAAAATGGAAGAAGAATTGTCCATAAATAAATATTTATCCTGAGCAAGCGAACTATTCACAGAAATACACAATATGACTGCCGATAAGGACAGATCGACTCTTCCCCGAGAAACCACACATCCTGCCCTCGCTGGGCCGCCACACCAATTATTTTAAACCCACTACGGCGGCCAGATCCGCCATGCTTTCCTGAACGTATACCATTTCTTCATGTTGATGATCTGTACATGAAAAGTGCTCCCCTACATTATGTAAAATCATAGCTCCCAAGTGTCCCTACTTAGTAGAACCAGTCCCTACTCTGAGGGAGATTTATCAAAGTGGAGCAATCACCATGGAAACCAGTGATACCAGCAGGCCGTCCCTTTTATCTTTTTGCAGCACTTGTTAGAGCAGAATACTTTGATAAATCTCCCCCAAAGTCAGGGGCTGGGGCACTAATGGGTCCTTAACCGGAGCATACTGCGGGGGCTCGGAAATATCCAAGGTAGAACTAGGTAAAATGGCCGCTAATGCCCACCGGCTACCGCTTGCCAATCACAGCCATGAAATATGAATTATGTATAACTTCCCCACAGCGCTTTGCACTAGGCCTGCCAGAGCCATGGGGTATATTGAAGTGATGCGGGTGGATCTGACAGGTCTAGAGTTCCTGGATTCACAGACAGGAAGACTATTTGGTATTTAATTAGTAACCCCTAAATCAAGAACTGACAAAGGACGAGGGGTGACCCTCTGCCCTATATGTGGTTAGTTTTCTAAGTTCACCATATAAATATCTACCAGGGTGACGTATAGGAGACACTGACACACTACCAGTAAATAATACAGCTTAGCAAATCTATTTTTTCATTACTGTCGTTAATTATTACTCAGTTCGTAGCATTTATTGCACTCCAGGACAGGTGGTAAGTATGTATGAAATGTACAGCTTATCATTACAGCTCATTGTATCAGTACAGCTCATTGTATCAGTACAGCTCATTGTATCGATACAGCTACTTGTATCAGTACAGCTCACTGTATCATTATAGCTAATTGTATCAGTACAACTTATTGTATCAATACAGCTAATTGTATTTGTACAGCTTATTGTATCAGTACAACATATTGTATCAATACAGCTCATTGTATCAGAACAGCTCATTGTATCAGTACAGTTTATTGTATCAATACAGCTGATTGTATCACTACAGCTCATTGTATCAGTACAGCTCCTTGTCACAGAACAGCTCATTGTGTCAATACAGCTCATTGTATCATTTCAGCTCATTGTATCAGTACAGCTCACTGTATCATTACAGCTCAATGTATCAATACAGCTTATTGTATCAGTACAGCTCATTGTATCAGTACAGCTCATTGTATCAATACAGCTTATTGTATCAGTACAGCTCATTATATCAGTACAGCTCACTGTTTCAGTACAGCTTATTGTATCATTACAGCTTATTGTATTATTAGTTTATTTTATCAGTATAGCTCATTGTATCAGTACAACTCTCTGTATCAGTACGGCTCATTGTATATGTAGTATTGTATTAGTCAAATTTATTACCTCTTTACAACTCCTTGTATCATTACAGCTTATTGTATTACAGCATATTGGGAGATATTTGCCAAAGTATTCTCCTTTAAAACGTGGTCTAAAGTATTAAAAGTGGGGAGATAACCATGGAAACCCAGGTGTGTTCTATTGGTGACTCTTCCCTTTTAGAGTTTTGTATCACTTTTTAGAACAGAACACTTTGATAAATCTCCCCTACTACTACATTACATATGGTATGTTAACAGCTTATTGTATTATTACAGCTAATTGTATTTTATTATATTGTTCAGTTTATTATATTATTACAGCTCGGTGCACCGTTACAGTTTATTGTATCATTACAGCTCTTTGTATTATTACAGCTCATTGTATGATTACAGCTCATTGTATTATTACAGCTCTTTGTATTATTACAACTCATTGTATGATTACAGATCATTGTATGATTACAGCTCTTTGTATTATTACAGCTCATTGTATGATTACAGATCATTGTATTATTACAGCTCATTGTATGATTACAGATCATTGTATTATTTCAGCTCATTTTTTTATTTTTACAGCTCTTTGTATGATTACAGATCATTGTATTATTTCAGCTCATTGTATTATTACAGCTCTTTGTATTATTACAGCTCTTTCTATTATTACAGCTCATTGTATTATTACAGCTCTTTGTATTATTACAGCTCTTTCTATTATTACAGCTCATTGTATTATTACAGCTCTTTGTATGATTACAGCTCATTGTATTGTTAAACATTATTTTAGTGGTTATGGTGTATTATTATGGAGTACGGCCCCTTTATGTTTTCCAAAACCACCCAGTGCTGCTATCTAGAATTTCTGTTGCAGAATGTTGGGCTTTCTGCTGATAGTGTGTAATTAATTCCTTATTATCTCTCTGGTAGCGGACAAGTGTTTACAGAACTTTCTTTTTCTTCTCAAAGCAACTCGAAAACAGTTTGAGGAAAATAAACCGGATGAACTGCACCCCAAGACTCCCTGCGATATATGGGTAGGAATTTACTGTAATAATACAATGTCCCTTTAAATACATAAATAACCTAGAACGTGCGATTTCCGTGTGAGTTCAGTGAATAAACCCTGCATTTCACAGGTCGCTGCCACCATGCAATGCCAAGAATTAGTAGGTGATATGGTCATAGTCCATTAACATTGCAGCTTAGATTGCTAGCTCTTGCGCTCACAGAATGTTACCAGGTGTTTGGGATTAGAGGTCGCAAAATGCGGAAATAATGGTCTGGGGTTTAAAGGGAGAAAGGTATGAAAACTGTGACATCAGAGTTAACTTTCAGGGAATTTGAGAGAGGGCCAAGAATCCTGATGGGGGAGGGAGGGGAGGAGAGGGGGAGGAAATGAGGAAAAGAAAGAGGGAGGGGAGGAGAAAAACTAAACACAAGCTGAAAAGAAGAGGTGAAGAGAACACTTGTTGCGAGAGCTGGTCCAGGATGGAGATATTAAACGGTAGGTAGTTACTGGCTGCTTTTGGAGTGGCCTAACTCAGACATGGTGCTTCTCGCTCTGGGTGTAACCTGAGTAGAGGCTCACATGGAAAGTCCTGTGCAATGTGAGCAACTGTGACAGCTAGGTTTAGGCTGGGGGGGGGGGACTTTTGGAATTTGGGGGAGCACTAGGTAAGTGTGTGAATTATGGGGGGGACAGAGTCTGATAGTAAGGGGAGACAGGCATGCTAAATGGGGGGACAGACCCAGAGTCCGCTGGAAGTCGCTGGTAGGGGGGAACAGGCATGCTAAATGGGGACAATGTCCCAGCTAGTAGAGGGAGCAGAGCATGCACTATGCTAGAGAGACAGACCCCAAGTCCCTAAGCTGGTAGAGAGACAGAGCATGCTAAATAGAGACAGCCCCAGGAATCGCTGGTAGGGGAACAGAGCATGCCCCAACTGAGAGGACAGACCCAGAAGTCGCTGGGGGAGACAGGCATGCTAACTGGGGGACAGGCCAGAGTCCGCTGGTAGGGAGACAGGCATGCTAACTGGAGGAAGAGCCAGGAGTCCAAGGGGGGAGTAGGGAGACAGGCACATGCTAAATGGGGGGGACAGACCCAGAGTGCCCCGCTACAGAGACGAGGAGTCAGAGACAGGCATGCTAACTGGGGACAGACCCAGAGTCACGCTGGTAGGGGGGGGAGACAGGCATGCTAAATGGGGACAGACCCAGGGAAGTCCGCTGGTAGGGGAGGCAGGCATGCTAGCAGGAGGAGGACAGGCCAGGGGTCCGCTGGGAGACAGGCATGCTACACAGAGGGACAGACCAGGGGAGTCCGCTGGTAGGGGAACAGAGCATGCTAACTGAGAGACAGACCTTAGAAGTCCGCTGGTAGGGGAGGCAAGCATGCTAGAGACGAACCCAGAGTCGCTGGTAGAGAACGAGCATATAACAGGCATGCTAAATAGGGAACAGAGCATACAATAGAGACACACCAGTGTCCGCTGGGGGAGACAGGCATGCTAACTGAGGGACGAACCCAGAAGTCGCTGGTAGAACCCAGAGTCGCTGGTAAGGGGAAGACCAAGTCGCTGGCTGAGGGAACCCAAGGCAGCCTTGAAGTCGCTGGTAGGGAGCCCAGAGTCACGCTGGTAGGGAACCCAGGGAAGTGGCTGGGGGGGGAGCCAGAGGGAGACCCAGAGTCGCTGGTAGGGAGCCAGAATCCCGCTGTGGGGAACCCACGACATGCTAACTGGGGGAGGACACACAGAAGTCCGCTGGTAGAGGAGGAGCAAGGTATGCCCCAGCTGGTAGAGGACAGCCCAAACTCACGCTGGTAGGGAGACAGGGTATGCTAACTGAGAGACGAACACAGGAATCGCTGGTAAAGGGAGACAGGCATGTGAATGAGAGTGTAGAGACACAGATCGCTGGCAGAGAATAGGCATATGAATCAGGAATTTAGGGGAACGAACACAAGTCACAAGTAGAGCAGTAACACTAACACAGACAGAACACAGAAGGGATCCACAGGGAGCGCTCAGGGTAGCTGGAGACAGGTATACTAACTGAGACAACACAGAAGTCGCTAGTAGGGGAAGACAGAAGCTAACTGAGAGACGAACACAGAAATCCCGCTGGGGGAACAGAGCATAGAATCAGAGGAACGGAGACAGGCCTAGAAACGTCGCTGGTAGAACCAAGGGGTAGACAACATGTAACTTTCGAGGGACAGACACAGGAGTCCCGCTGGTAGGGGAGACAGGCATGTGCCCAAATCAGAGGTGAGGGGGACAGACACAGGAGTCTGCTGGTAGGAGGAGACAGGCATGTTAACTGGGGGGACAGACACAGAGTCCGATGGTAGGGAGAGACCGGCATACAAATAGCCAAAGTGGAATAAGTCAGCAATGCTTTAGTTTAGCTACTGCGGCCTTAAATTTAAAATCACTTTGCATATTGTATATTTGAACACTGAGCATGTGATTGGGGGGGAGATACACATTGTGTACTGGGGAATACAGGGAGAGCTGGGTGTAGTGAGAAAGCTGGAGTAGAATGGGTGGGGTGGAGCCAAAGACCAGAGACCACCCTGTGAGAAGTGGATTTCAGTGCTGGGAGTACAGGGTGACGGGCTGGAGTTAGAGGAGCGTGGTGGGTGTTTGGTCACAGAGCTGCACAGGAGTGGAAGGTTGACTGCGTGAAGGAATACTAAAGTGCCCTGGCGACTTGGTGCGAGACAGCGGTACGTGCCGTGGGAGTTGGTGCGAGACAGCGGTACGTGCCGTGGGAGTTGGTGCAAGACAGCGGTACGTGCCGTGGCGAGTTGGTGCGAGACAGCAGTATGCCGTGGTGCAAGACAGCAGTATGTGCCGTGGTCAGTGGACTGGCATAATAGTGTGTGCTGGCAGTGGGATAGCCGTATGATGTGCATGGTTTTCATTAGAGCCCACTAACCCCTATTAGTTTTGTGCACAACTGTGTTTCTGCTTTGGCAAACTAATAAAATCCCTTTCAATCTTTAACTGATTAAGATCCCACTGGTAAATCCCGAACAGATCTGTTCGTTCAGGCGTATATTGAACGGAATAAAATTTTTGCTCGACCCAGCTGTAACACATTTGTCTACTCCCTGCCAGCCAGCCCAGGTGTCGGGAATTAGGGTGCCGTGCAGGGAAGGGCTAGGTATGTATGTCCTGACAGCAGGTTATGGACAGGCTCAAGGTATGAGTAAGTTTTGCTGTGTGTGCCATGGCATTGGAGGGCAGGGACAGGTTTTGAATGTCTGATGGCAGGGCCAGGCATCCGTTGTGGGGCTAGGCCCAGTGTCCATGCCAGGGAGACTGGGACAGGCTTAGGTGTCCATTCCGAGAGGGAGATGCCAGGCTCGGTGTCTGTGCCGTGGCAGCAGGGTCAGGCCCTGTCTGTTCCGGGGCAGTGGGTGCGCGCCTCGGCAACCTGTGTGTTTTGTACCCAAGCACGATGGGTGCGGTGTTGGGATAGAGAACTTAGTGTTGTATAAACCAGACTGCTGTGTGGGCAGACACCGAAATACACAACCCTGCAGGAATCTGGTACAGCAGGGACATGAGATACCAGAACAATAGGAATATTATCCTCCCAGCTCCGGCAGCCTTCATGCTGTGCTAGAATGAGCTGCCAACTTTCTATTACACATCTGCTCCAACATCCCAACGGAGTACGGCAGAGACACCTTGTAAATACACCTAAAAGCTACAGCTTCCCACAATATCCCCAAAACTCTGACTTGTGCTTTCCTCTCATCGCAGATCACCTGCTCGACATTCTGTCCATCCAGGAGGAAGATGGAAAGGAGAACAAACGCCAGGCCCTGAGACTGGTTGTTTTCATGAGAGCGCAGTCTGACGGATTAGTGAAAGAATATGTAAGTTCTCTGAATGGCCATCGTTGAGTTTGGGTTATTCTGTCCCTCTCGAAAGACTTGCCTTGCAGTCGCAATTTATTATACTCTGAAAACTGTGTATAGCATCACATTCCCTCTGAGCATTCCATTAATACCAGGATTGCAACATATTTCTGGTCTGTACGCTTCGCCATCCCAGCTAGCGTGGGGACTGAGCATTGTGGGTAAGGAAGTTCACAAACCTCTAGGTTATCCATAGCATCTTAAAATAGTCCTAAATCAAACATTTTATGAGATAATGGATAAAGTGGAGATCTGGCCAGTCTAGAATAATTTATTTCTAAATCTTAACAACAGCAGATTAGAGAACTATGCCAGTATTTAGGCATTTTAAAGAAAATGTCTTCTGAGTTGTCCTATGAGTTTACAATCTAGAGGGGATAGAGCAGCCGTAGGCAACTTCTGCACCCCCTCCCAAATTAAGAAATCTAATGCAAGCTCCTAAACAGTTGATGTTCCACCAGACAAAGCTCACACAGAGAGCTTCCTGCTTCCTGTCTGATATATTGGAGGCAGGGAGCGATACTTGGGTAAGAAGTCAAACCATTCTAAAACTGTTACAATGGGGGGCCCTCCTGGCACCATAACCACTACAGTGAGCTGTAGTGGTTATAGTGATTGGAGTGTTCCTTTTAAATAAGCAATAGTAGTTTCTGATTACTGTACAAGGGGCGGCAAAGCAGATAATCATTCTAGGATGTGGGGAATAGTATAAATACACAAAGTAAAGAGGAATGGAATGATAGACCAAGAGGAAAAATACACTTCTGACATAGAAAAACAAATGAATGTCACATTATTGCAAAGTTAAAGAAGTTCAGATGTGTTTGTGGCTGGAAGCTATTTAATTAAGTCAGTGTCCCACGTGTGAACGGTCAGAGAACAGATGGACCCACGTTCAGTGAAACCAGAGCTGTGTACGCAAAGCGGCCACAAATGGCGCACATCAGAGTCCCGTGTCCGGGTGTAGTTATTAAAAATATAATTTTTTCACACAGCTATTCATTTTAAGTGTTTTTCACATTCTAGTCCACAATGGAAAAAGTGAAAAATATAAACTTTTCTTGTTTTAGAATATGAAACTCCCTTTTAATTCCCAGCATTTCAAACTTTAATGATTAACCCTGAACATGTTTTATAGGACACCGCAGTGCGTTCAACTGGAGAAATGACACAGAGGAAGATGTCACAGGAGATTATATGTTTAACACCAAGTTGCAAAATTCTTGCAAAAAAATAATAATTTTTTGAATTCGCCAACATCACAGCTTGGCTAATTTATCCAGAATCTTGTAATTCATGCAATTATAAAACTGTCTCTCGAGTCTTTGATGCTCACAACCCATACATACAGGAGCAGAACCCAGATGTAGTTAGTTGGTAACTTTTGTTGATTCCAGTGATTAAATCTCATGTTAACACTCCTAATGCGCCACTACACTCTTACATTATCTAATTTATCAACAGATTCCATTTGTTCTCCTCCTTGCTTATACATGGTATCTTCTTCTGATTTACAGTTACATTTTCAAGGTGCTCCACTGTCTAATCCTGACTATAACCAGAAGCCTCAGACAGAAGGTCTACCAACTCTAGAGGACCTCCCAGCCTCCCCCTGGAAGCGGCTGTCTCTTAGTGTCTCTGCTTTCGCATCTCTGGCGAGTTGGTTTGAATCTGTCATACTCTGGCAAACCGACCTCAACCCCAAAGCCAAACAGTTGCACAAACGCTTGGAGACTTGTCACCAGCAGTTAAAAGCCTTGTGTTCCAGCCTTGCCACTATCCTTGGGAGGACAGACCTCTCCTATCCTTCCACACCCACAGTCTCAAAGACGTTTGCCAAGAAGATCGCCGGCTATGCTGTGTGTGTGAGTTTCATCAACTGGCTCCAGCAAACTGAAAGGGACCTTGCCATCCTTATTGCAGAGACGGCTGTGTAGCTTCATACAGATGGACATTAGCAACTGACCTACCTCACAGAGGACACCTGGTAGATGTATCTGAATCTTGTATGTAACAGACTTTCACTTAGAACTGGCTGTTACAAGCCATTAACACTCCTGCAATACCAAAACTACTGTAGAACCCTGAATCTTGTCCTGAGCCCGTGGAAAAAGATATCACGTTGGAATGTGGATGTAGTGGCATCCCCCGCAGGTTGGACTTTTTCGTTTTAATCTTTTCCAGCAAGTGCCTATGGTATGCAATGGCTCGAGGCCAAAAGCACGATCCTTGCGATTTTCGTAAAATGGACCTTCTGATCTTCTTTCAGCCTGTACCATCTTGGCTCCATGTGTACAGATACAGGATTTAGATTCCCTTTTGCACACTCAACTTCACTGTTTTAAGGCTTGTATTTTAGTTTATATTTTGACTAATTTTAAAAATTAAAGATGGCTTTTACTTAAGTTGTATAACTTTAATTTGACTTCTTTATGGTGAGCTGGTAGCGATATCATCCCAAAGCATGGACTAGCATAACCACCACTTCCTGGGGCTGTCTGACGTAATGTAGGTTTGTCTTCTCAAAACAGTCAATTATCCCGTTCACTCCTATAATTACTTCTCAAGTTCCCTGCATTGTCTAGGCATATGGTAATATGAGGAGCTTGAAGGGATGGGATAACCACTACAATTCACTGTAGTCATATTGGTGTAAACAGTCTGCAGGTGCCATATCCCCAGATTTGCAAACCATCTAAACACTTTCCCACTGCCTACAGCCTGGCTCCTCACCTTCACATTATTTGGCTGCCCTTGGGTGGAATCCTGGGCACAGCACCCCCAGACTCTTTGCAGCATAACCCATAACCATTACACTGATGTAGAATAGATTAAATGGAAGTGCCTTGCCTCCCATGAAGCTAATTAGCTTGATCTAGATCAGCATGGTCCTCCAACTTACTCTCATTCTATATAACTATTCAAGCAGTATTGTGTACTGTTAATTTAAAGACCGGAATAGTAAACGCCTAGTTAGTTATTAGAATATACATTAGGTCCACTGTAAGGGAGCCTGCCCTTGGCCACTGTTCTGACCATGATCTGAATGTAAATCACCTTGGCTTGACCACTAAATCACACAAAGGCAATGATACATATCTCTCCTGTGATCATACATAATCACGATTGTGTTGGTGAATGAGGTGCAATGCTTTGAGGGATAGAATCTAGTGGACATTTATAAAGCATTGATTTTTTTTAAAGATCACTGGCTGAACAAATATGGCTGGAGGTGTAGGGGAATTTAACACAGTCCCCCATGTTTTATTATAACGCCTTTAGTGACTGTCCACACCCCACTGTTGAATATAACCTGCAACCGTGTGCCCACCACTGGGATGGGGGAGCAGTGCCTGGGGGTAAATGGTTCTGTTAAAATCTGGATCTGATCCGCTTGATAACTTTCGGCCTGTCTGAAATCTGGTTAAAACTCCGGCTCATTCTTTTACAAAATCAGACATTGTTAAATTGTATAAGCAATATCCAGAATCTGCGTCCTGCATGGCTCCAGACTTTAGTAAATAATCCTAAGGGGTCTATTAACGCAATATCTCAAGGGTGAATGTTATGAGTCAACAGCCAAACTGGAAACCTTTTGGGACTAGATCACCACCAGCTATTTATCAATTCTGGTAGAATATTTAGGAAGCTGCAATGCCCAGAAATGCTGTCGGGTTCCTGACGATATGAATATACTAGGTGTTCGACAATTCCTGTCGTGCATCTTGTATGTGAAAAAACGGTATCTTTGTCTCTATATTGTCATTGCCAACAGTATGAAATATTGTGTGAGGTGGGATACCGCATAATATCCAGAACTTTTGAACCCTCAGTATTTCAGTAAAGAACTAAGTGTGTGAGGCTACAAACAGATCGACCAATACACAAATTCAGTCCTATGTTTATGCGTAACAGATTTCAGATATCGGCTTTTATTCCCCCCTATGTTAAATCATTTGTAAAGTAGGTCATCTGTGCATTAAAAAAAATATATATTTTTTTGTAGTATAACTATTTATGTATTTTGTTACTGTATGCTTTCTTTGGGTGTATATGCAATAACAGAAGCCGCAGACCTGCCTCTCTCCCCAGACTTTCATTGCCGTGGAATACCTTAATCAGAGGCTGCCTCTCTCCCCAGACTTTCTTTGCCGAGGAATACCTTAATCAGAGGCTGCCCCTCTCCCCCCAGACTTTCTTTGCCGAGGAATACCTTAATCAGAGGCTGCCCCTCTCTCCCCAGACTTTCTTTGCCGAGGAATACCTTAATCAGAGGCTGCCCCTCTCCCCAGACTTTCTTTGCCGAGGAATACCTTAATCAGAGGCTGCCCCTCTCTCCCCAGACTTTCTTTGCCGAGGAATACTTTAATCAGAGGCTGCCCCTCTCTCCCCAGACTTTCTTTGCCGAGGAATACTTTAATCAGAGGCTGCCCCTCTCTCCCCAGACTTTCTTTGCCGAGGAATACCTTAATCAGAGGCTGCCCCTCTCTCCCCAGACTTTCTTTGCCGAGGAATACCTTAATCAGAGGCTGCCCCTCTCTCCCCAGAATTTGTAGAGGAATACCTTAATCAGAGGCTGCCTCTCTCTTCAGACTTTCTTTGCCGAGGAATACTCTAATCAGAGGCTGCCCCTCTCTCCCCAGACTTTCTTTGCCGAGGAATACATTAATCAGAGGCTGCCCCTCTCTCCCCAGACTTTGTAGAGGAATACTCTAATCAGAAGCTGCCTGTGTTGGATAGACCAGCAAGTGTATGGGAACACAGCTTTCCAATGTTTCTCAATGAGCTGCAATACACTAACTTAGAGTGCCCGCCCCTTCCATTAGCTCTGTGGAGCTAATATCGGTAGAAGAAAATTTCACTAGCTGTCTGACAGCCAGTGAGACGTTTCAACCCTCAATTTTAAACGATAATTTTTAATAAAACTAACACTTTTATAAATGGTTTTTAAAAGTGAGATTATAGATTGGTGTGTGAACTGATCCTTTTAATAAGGCAGGAAGGAATGTATCTAGCTTACTGCTCACTAATGGTAGCATTTTCCTGTAAAAAGGAGTGAAAAGGAAAAATACGTCCGTGAGTGAACAGTAAGCTAAATTTGACAGACAGAGGTTAATTAGTCCATCGTATCCACTGTCCCCTCTGTAAATAGACACACTATTCTGGATCAGTACCGCAGTGTGTCTATTCTACCATCACCTCTGTGAATAGACACACTGTATTCTGGATCAGCACCGCAGTGTGTATTCTACCATCACCTCTGTGAATAGACATACTATATTCTGGATCAGCACCGTAGTGTGTCCATTCTACCATTACCTCTGAATATACACAGTGTATTCTGGATCAGTACCGCAGTGTGTCCATTCTACCATTACCTCTGTGAATAGACACACTGTATTCTGGATCAGTACCGCAGTGTGTCTATTCTACCATCACCTCTGAATATACACACTGTATTCTGGATCAGTACCGCAGTGTGTCTATTCTACCATCACCTCTGAATATACACAGTGTATTCTGGATCAGTACCGTAGTGTCTATTCTACCATCACTCTAAACATGAACAGCTGTTCCGACTGCACAATTCATCCCCATATGCAGCTCAGTGCTCATGGTGTGAGTTCTGTGAATATAGTTACATAGTTCTGTATTTGGACATGATGAGGCTAAAGGATTAATCGAGGAAATGTATCTGCCTTTTTGGCACAGACGTGTAACATTCATGCCAAAGCAAAGTATCTGTGTAACATACCGAAAAGGTTAACAGCTAATAGAAACAGCTCCCCGTTTTACCAGTAGAGGTCAGTGTGATTTTTGCTTTTTTTATTTTTATGCTGTAATGCCATCTACTGGCCATATCTGGAACTGATGCATCTCTGTACTGTACAGGACCAGTGCAGGCCGGCCCCTCTATTCTGCGCATTGTCCTGCCCCCTTACTCAGAAAGTGTTTTTTACCTGCAGAGAAACATGTTCTGACAGTTCTACATTACTCCACAGAAGCGGTAAATGGCATCCCTACATCCACGACTATAGGTAAAACCCCATGCAGGCAGGAGGGTTATAAGTAGTTTAAGGGTTTAGTTGCAAGCTGCAATAATAGCCTACAGTGCCCTGAGCAGTAAATTTACTTGGTGGAACTTTACAGTATGTGGCAAGTTTTCATTGTGTAACAGGGCGTGACTGTTATTCAAGCCCATGATGATAAAAGTTTTACGGAGAATCTTCAGGTTACTACAAACTGCATGGGAATCAAAGTGGATGCTATTTCTCCCTTGTCACTACATTTAAGGATTCCAGTTCCATGTACATGCACTGTGCTTTCATTCACCATCACTAGGAAATGGCCATTTAAGCGATGTGACAGGAAGAGCCAGGATTCTGGAATAAACAGAAGGGTAAGACAGCCACTGAAATGGTTGTGATGGGAGTTTATTTAACCCTCTAAGGACCAAACTTCTGGAATAAAAGGGAATCATGACATGTCACGTGTCCTTAAGGGGTTAAAGACCTGGTTATGTAATCTCAATCTGGGAACCTGTACTGCCCGGAATACCCATTTGTGGTGGGAGATCTTATTCATTGTGCAGTAGTAACTGTAGCATCATGAAACGTGTTCTCCTCCGCTACCAGAGAAGTATTGGGACCCATGAACAAACCACACAGCTGCACGTGTTACACTCAGTGGGTGACTCTTGGAAGAGATACAACTGAACCAGGTACAGCCTCCCATGGCATCATATATACACATTAGCCTACTTGTATATATCGCATACACATTTCACCAATTTAATGAACTATAAATGGGCAAACAAAACAAGCAGGTACGGTAACTTTTTCCCCTTTGGTTTTTACTGTATTAGGGCTGATGTGTACTATGGTTGTTGCTGCCGCCCAAAAGTAGTTTGAGTGCAGGACTTATTTTGGTGTATTAGTATTAACTTTTTGTATCACACAGCTATGTTACAATGCTGCCGTCCACCCCATGTGTTCCCTATTAAGGGTTAATAAGTATATAGGGGTTTAGAAAAATCCCTCTCTCTTGCTGCCGCCCAAGAGTTGTGGGAGTTTAAGCACAGGACTTATTTTTGTGAATTTATAAAACAAGCACGGCTACACATACATTAAAGGGACATTATAGGCACCAGAACAACTACAGATTATTGAATTTGATCTGGTTAGTATAATCAGTCCTTTCAGGCTTTTTGCTGTAAAAACTTTTTTTCATTACATTACAGCCTAGTGATACGTCCACTGGCCACTCCTTAGATGGCTGCTAGAGGTGCTTCCTGGGGCAGTGCAGCACAGTGTGACTGCCATTCAATGTCTACACCTTCTGCATGCAGACACTGAACTTTCCTCATAGTGAAGCATTGATTCAATTCATCTCTATGAGGAGATGCTGATTGGCCAGGGCTGTGTTTGAATCATGCTGGCTCTGCCCCTGATCTGCCTCCTTGTCAGTCTCAGCCAATCCTATGAAGAAGCATTGTGATTGAATCAGACCACCTCTTCTGATTATGTCAGCAGACAGCAGGCTGTCCCCCTCTATTCTGCGCATTGTCCTGCCCCCTTACTTAGGCAGAACCAGCCGCTGCAGACTTGAACACAGGAAAAATTTTACTATACTTAGGGAGGCAAGATTGCGGTTTTAACACGATAGGGTCAGGAATACATGTTTGTGTTCCTAACCCTATAGTGTTCCTTTAATTAAAAAAAAACAAAAACAAAAAAAAACACCCTTCACTGCCTTATCCTCTGGGTGGCATTTTTGTGGGTTCGCACTGTCCGGTGCTCTACCAGAGTTCTGGGAATGTGAGGGTTCTGAGCAGTAGTTTAGTTCAGGGCTAAAACAAATCCAAAGCGCCAGGTTTCCGGGTTGCCTTGGCACCTGTCAGCCCGTTGCCTCCAGATCGAGAGTGGAGTCGGCAAGAGAGCTTTAATCTTCTTGTTTTGCTCTCTTGTGCGCCCTGCAGTGATGCCGGGAGTCGGAACTTGATGTCACTTCCCGGCAGCCCACCTGTACTCCAGTGGACCCAAGAAAGAGCCAACCCACTCCAGTTCTCCTAAATGTAGGGAGGCTGGGTAGACTTAAATTGAAGACCATCCCCCCCCATCTGAGTGACTGCCACCAATGTAAACACTGCCTTTTCCCTGAAAAGGCAGTGTTTACATTAAAAGGCTACAGGGACAGGCTATAGCCACAAGAACAATGACATTAAGCTGGAGTGGTTCTGGTGACTATAGTGTTCCTTTAAGAACTGTATTTTTGTCGTTGAAAATTAAGCTTTGTTTTATTTAAAAATAAATAAAATGGCTACTAAACTTATTTAGCTGGGTTTTAGATTCCAATCAGATTTATCAAGCCCTGGTTTAGCTGTTCCTAGAACTGCACTCTTCGGGACAGATCTCTCAAATGTCCCACCTAGAGAAGCCACTCTGCCAGCTTGGTGGTTACAGTCTCGAGTGCTGCAACAACTGCGACTACCACTTGCCTTCACACACCACCACCACCCTAGTATCCATACCTTCCACCTAAGGCTGAGAAAGCAAATATTCATTAAACACCATCCACCACAGAATAGAGGGGAGGGAGGTGGACAAAAAACAGAACAAGCAAGACATTTCCAAATTAATTTATCTGCATATTTCCCATCCCACATTGTGAGTTTTGCAGGTTCCCAGAACCCTGTACAATATAAATTATTAACCTTTTTGCTGCACAGTGCTGCAGGCTATGGCCGGGAGGGAATGAGTTAAAATAACATACTTCCAGAGTGGAAAAGTAAACCCGTTTCAAGCAAATGTGCAGCCCCAAATTTTCCCTCCCAAAAACATCTGATGGACTTTAGTCCCAAGCAGTTCATTATTTATTCAGCTCCTTGTCAAATCCCTGCAGGCAGAGAGAGAGTATCCAAAATACTCAACCTGAAGAGGATTGGGTAACTGGTAATATTCTGTGTCCTAAAGTCTGTTACAGCACCATTGATATCCACAGAAGTGCATCTGGTAAAGAAGGGTTAAAAGGCAATTCAAAGCGGAGGGGAGAAAATTAAAAACTGTACCACTCCTTCCATTCTTCATCCAACTGTGAAAAGTAATCAATTATCATCTACATGAAGACAACTTTTAGCGTTTTTATGGCACAAAAAAAAATTAAAAATAAAATAAAAAACACCCCCACAAAAAGAGTCAGTTTTTAAAAAAGTAAGGGGGCTGTCCATTCATAAGTTATGTCACTTCCACCATAAAATTTCCAACAGCCTGGGTTTCGTGAACATCGGCTTCCTGGTCCCCATGGGTCAGTTGATGTTGCTCAAAAGTAGATCGACAGAAAAAGCGCTTGCTGCAAAGTTGACAAGCAAAAGGACCTCCCTGTTCATGGACCTTACGATGAGTAGCCAAGTGGCTGGCAATACGGAAAGCTTTGCCACAGTCTGGGCAGGGGTATCTGTGAATACGGAGATGGTTCTTGAGGGCGAGGAGGTTATAGAATTTTTTGTGGCAGCCAGAACACTGGTAGACCCCTGTGCTGTGCGTCTTCCGGTGATTAAGAAGACTGCCAGCATGGCGGTAAGACCTGTCACACTGGTTGCACTTGTATTTACGTTCTTCCTGTACAATGGGGGTAGTATGATTAGGAATTTCTTCACCGGACACTGGTGGGTCATCTTCAGTATTTAATGTGCCCACGTCAGTTGGCAAAACTAATGAGGAAGACTGTGGTAAAGTAGAAAAAGAGGGCAGTTCTTTATGAGTTCGTTGGTGATGTCGGAGGGTCAGCTTACTGCTAAACCCACGATTGCAAATTGGACAATGGAAGGGTCTCTCACCAGTGTGAACCCTATGGTGGCAAATTAGCTCCCGAGAAGAGCGAAATGCTTTGCCACACTCAAGACACTGGAAACGTTTCTCTGCTGTGTGAGTGCGAAGGTGGTTCTTGATTGCCATGGGGTTGAAAAACTGTTTGAGGCAGATAGAGCACTTGTAAACTCCAGTCTTGTGAGTGTTCTTGTGATTGAGTAGACTTCCAGCATGTCTGTAGGTTCTACCACATAAATTGCACTGGTATGGTCGATCCGCTATCTGATTTGTAGAATGTAGGGTAGATGTGTCACAGTTTTGGTGAAAGTCAAGGCTTGACCCATAACTAGCATTTCCAGCATTGCTTTCGCTGCACATGTGATTTTCAAGTTCATCATAACTAACAAATAAGATTCCACAGTCTTGACAAACTGGCTTTAATGGTGACGAGGGGCTCTGATTTGAAGGAATGGCTGTGTTTTCATTTTCGGATATGCCACTACTACAGTTCTGGGGTCTTTTACGAGACTCTCCGTGACTCAATGATGTCTTAGAGAATTCTAGCTTGGATGGTTGGTCAGGAACAGTTTCTGACAGAGGTGGAGACCCTTCAATGACCTTGGAACTAAGCTGGCTTATCTCTTGGGCATGTACAAGTTGGTGTCTGCTTAGCTGCCTCTTCCACCTGAAGGACCTTCCACATTCTGAGCAGTGGTGCCTCTTTGCTTCGTAGTGTGTACGCTGATGATTTTTCATGGCCATGAGGTTGGAGTAGGTTTTATCACAAACTGTACAGGAATACTGACCTATAGTGTGACTTTTCTTGTGATTAACAAGGCTTCCTGCGTGGCGGTATGATCTCCCACACTGTTCACATTGGTAGGGCCGAGCTTCCTGATTAAGGTCCTTCTTTAAAACACTTTGTTCTGGAGCACTACTGAACTCATTCAATTCTCTTGCACCCTCACAAGGACTAAACGTTTCCTTTTTGTCTGGAGATATGGTACGATTCTTCAGGAAAGATGACTTCTGTTGCTGTAGCAGAGCATTGAGCTTGCGTGATTTTGTGCCCCTACGTTTGCGCCTGCCTGGCTTCTTCTCGGCAGCCCTGTCACGGTGTATTCTTTGATGAGTGTCTAACTGCTTATGGAGACGAAAAGCTTTGCCGCATTCCAGACACTTGTGCCTCTTTAATTCAAAATGAATACGGTTATGGTTCTTCATTGCCATAAGATTAAAGAAACGCTTTTGACAAATGGCACATCGGAAAACGCCGGTTTTATGACTTTGCTTGTGATTAATAAGGCTACCTGCATGCCTGTAACTCCGCCCGCACACATCACAACGGAACGGACGTTGATGGAAACTGTATTCTCCTGTTGAGTTTGAAACACTCAGAGGCATAGGGGTATCGGCTTTAATATCTGTAGTAGATCCAGAGGAAATAATGGCTGTCTCTAGGTGCCTGTTGCCATCACAGTTGCCAGAGAGATGAATTACCAGTTCATCAACACCACTGCACAATTTGCCACACAATTCACAGACCTGAACAGATTTATCATCTGTATTCAAAGCAGGCCGGGGACTACTGGTGGATATGCTTCGAGCTAGGTCATCAGTGCAGTGGTTGATCAGCATCCGGCGTTTCTTCAAAGCTTTCCATAGAGACTTTCCTCCAGCAAGACGTTTACTTGGCAATTTAAAATTGTTGGTGAGGGACTGTGTGTGAAGTTGTGAAGGGTTATAATTATTACTGTAATTGTCATTAGATGTGCAGGCCATACTTGATTCGGATGCATCATACACAGCTCGAGACTCAGATAGATTTGACTGAGAATCATCAACAGCGGGATGACCGTTCTCTGGATTTTCACCAAGGCATTTAGGGTCAGTTAGATTTAGGTTGTGTGGGTCACTTGGGTTTAGGTTGTCTAGATCACTTTGATTGCCAATGGCAGCATGCTGCTTACACTTTGGATGATGGCGCAAATGGTTGCGAAAAGCAGCCAGATTGGGATAATGTCTTAAACATGCCAAGCACTGAAAATTGCCCACCAAGTGAGTCTTTTTATGATTTACAAGGCTACCACCATGCCGATACGTCTTTCCACACTGGTCACAAGTATATGGACGATCCTCTGGACTCGCTGCACCCTTAGGAGGATCTTCAGAAACCATGATGTGGTCGCCTTCTTCCTCTTTTAATTCTAGACTTTGTTGAATTTCTGGACTCGGAAACTCGGCAACTTGAGGATTAAGAACACTTTCTTCTGCAGAGGAAATGTCTTCATTACTATGAGACAGTCCATGTGCCTCCAAGCTCTCCAGGTCATCATAAGTCTTCCCGCAGAACCCACAGATATGGGATAGTTGAGATGTTCCATAGGCCACCTCCCTGGAATCCCCTTCCTCCATCTCATTTTTTATTCTTCTCAATAGCTCTCTCTCTGAAGAATGCATAGTGAAGGGGTAGCCAGGAGCATTCTCATCAATGGGTAGGCCATGAGGCATTGCCTGATTTTCATGAGCCACTTGATGCTGATGAAAGTCTGCTTCATCAGAGAAGATCATTCCACAATGGCCACAGTCATAACGGTGATCTATAGATGGAGTCTCTACAAAGTCTTTGTTATCTGACCCATTCAGAATTTCCCTGCTGTTGGTTCGAATAATTTGTGATTTGGTGTGGGTCTGGAAATGAGTTCTCAAAGCCAAGAGGTTGGGATATTCTTTAGGGCAGAATGAACACTGGTAAATGCCAATCTGATGGGTGTGCTTATGGGTATTTAGGTCTTCTGTACTACTACACACTTCCCCGCACTCTTCACATGGGTAAGTAAGAGTTTTGTCTTCTTCTGAGCAATTAAAGCTGTTCTCAAGATCGTTTTGATTTCTATGACAATCTTCGGATTGACTGGAGCTTTCCCAGTCATCATAGTCACCCATAACTGGCTGCTGGGGTATCTCTGCCTGAGGGTCATCTAGCCCTGAAACGTCTGCCAGGTGGCCCCATGGAGGAACTCCTACTTCCATGTGTGTATCTAGATGAGCCAGTAGATGCTCTTCACTTGGGAATATTTCTTCACAACTTGGGCACCCAAATATCCTTTTGTTGTCCTGGGAAAAATACATATTGCTGTACAGATACCCAGAATTATCATTTCCATCAGACTTCTCCCTCCTGACTTTATGGTGGATTCGAAGGTGATTTTTTAAGGCAGCCAAGTTACGTACATGCTTGGAGCACACAGAACATGTGTAGTCTCCAGTCTGGTGGGTTCGCTTGTGGTTTATAAGACTTCCTGAATGCCTGTAGGTTTTATCACAAAGGTCACATTCATACACTTTCTTTCCTGTGTGTTCTACTAGCTCAAAACCTGCGCCTTGAGACTCTTTATTGCTACTAGTGCCACTTTCAGACTCTGTTAGTGCACAAGGCTCATCCTTCACTGTACAGGCCATATCCTCTGTGCTGGAGAGGTTTTTTTCACATACCTGGGTAAGGGTATCTTCAGTTTCTGAGCCCTCAATAACTGGATCCACATTAGCCATTAGTGGCGTTTCAGAAGACACATGGTTTAGGTTCAGCTTCTGCAAAGCCCCACGGAACATACCGGTCCTGTACGGTAAGAATTTGGGCTTGCCGCAGAGCAGCTGACGACTTCTCTTGGATATGTTTCTTCTACCTGCATGTATTCTGGAATGAAATCGGAGATGGTTTCTCAATGCCATAAGGTTGGAGTATTGCTTTGGGCAGAGAGAACACTGATATATCCCTGTCTTGTGTGTCAGCTTGTGATTCAGCAGGCTACTCTTGTGTCTATATGTCCTACCACAAGCCTCACATTTAAAAGGACGATCATCCAAATATTGGCTGTTTTCTTCTAATTCAGGAAGGTCTGCCTGCTCTGGAACAATTTTGTTTGCTGGAGATTGATCAATACTCATTATTGGATTTTGGAAACTGGTGCTGGGGTCTTCTCTTTTTTTGTCAACCTTAGTGATCACTAGTGTTTCCTCCTGAGCCCAAGGCTGCTGTGAGGGTTGAAGTGCAAGATTCTCGACCTCCCTCTTTATTGCTTCTGGTATCCCAGGGACGCTGGAGTAAGCAGAGTCATCACTGCTGCCTTGTGACCCTTGGGGATTTTCTCCCCAACATATATCTGGACCTGGCTCCTCTTTTGCAGCAAGATTGTCACTGCCGATTTCCATCACCTTTTCATCTTTGTGCAGGGCTTGATGCTGCAGATAATCCATTTCACATGTTAATACTTTGTGACAGATTCCACATTGATAGGAGTCCTCCGTGCTTTGAAACAGTTCATCAGAGAAGCTGGCAGAATGGAAATAGGTGTCCTCCAGTTTCCTCCCGGCTCTGGATTTAAAGTGGGCTCTCAGATGATTTTTCAGTGCTGCCATGTTAAACAATTGCTTTGCACAGATTGAACAGCTATATATCCCTGTCTGGTGAGTTTTTTTGTGGTTGATGAGGCTTCCGGCATGTCTATAAGTTCTACCACACTCTTGGCACATAAATGGACGTTCTTCTGAACTCTCTCCAGGTTTTAATTCTTCGTCATCTGTAGCTTCAAGTCCTGGTGGGGCTATCAAATTCTGTTCAACCTCAAGGCTGAGTGGGTTTTCCTGAACCCGTGGAGGTGCTTCATCTTGCTCAACATTAGCTGCTTTACATGTCTGAAAAAGGGAATCCAGTCTTAAGGCAGTGTCTGCCTCATCTTTTACAGTCTGTGCAGATGGGCTTAAACAGTCGGATTGAGATTTGTGAGGGGAAGTTATCCTGGTCTCTTCCTCAGAATGACTGCTCTCTGAGGCCTCCAAGAAACACTGTTGATCATCATGCTTCTCCATAGGGTCACTGAAGAGCAAGGCAGTTTGGTGTGGTTTGTCAGGGTTATCGTCAGAGAGGCTGGACAGTTTTGTGGAGAAATAAGGAGATCTGCAATTCTTCTGAGCTCTGGAATTTGTATGGAGTCGGCAATGGTTTTTCATGGCCATGAGATTTGAGAACTCCTTGTAGCAAATGGCACATTGGTAGACCCCCACTGTATGACTCTGTCTGTGGTTAGCCAAGCTTCCTGCATGTTTATAGGCTTTTCCACACTGTTTACACTTGTACCGACGTTGGTCAAGGCTACCATCAACCATCTGACCTTCCTTGTCCTCTGCTGCAGACTCTTGTTTTACCTCTTGACTTTCTTCTGTAACCTCTTGTGTTTTTTCTTCTGCATAATACTTTGGGACCAGCTGAGAGAAGTCATTTGGAACCATTGACTCAGCAATGTAGTTTTCCAGATTGCTCATTAAATTGCTATTCTCCACGAGGACAGGAGGAGGCATCTCAAAGCCCTCTTGGCTACCTGGAATATCTCCATCATTAGTTCCAGCATAATAGCCATGAGTAGCCTTTCGGTGGTTGGAAAGCTGCCGTGACATTCGGAAACATTCTCCGCATTCCTCACATTTAAAACGCTTGTCCTCAGAGTGAGTTCGCAGGTGATTTTTTAAGCCCATAGGGTTGGAATACTCTTTCTGGCAGATGAGGCAAGAATAGAGTCCTACTTGGTGAGTCTTTTTATGATTGACCAGGCTGCCAGCGTGCCTGTAACTCCGATCACACTGATTGCATTTAAAAGGCCTTTCTTCCTTGTGATTTTCCAGGTGGCTTTCCAACTCTGACAAGCTGGCAAAGGTGCTGGGGCACTGATTACAGCTCAGGGCATTGTCTGTGGCCCCATCCAGCTGATCAGGACTGAAGAGACATTCATCCATGTTGGATCTGGAATGGAGTAAACAAATCTCAGCATGAGGTTCCACCCATCAGCAGAGACGCACGCTCAGCTTCGAGGATACAGCACTCGGTCACTTTCAGGCACAGTCTCTTGCTCAGCATACAACATTCTTCATTAAATTTTCAAGCCAAACCAGGACACTGCATCATCAGTGACCTATAAAAGACAAACAAAATACCTTGTTTAGGTTTCAATTAAAATTACAACCTACATTCAGTAACACGGAACACACTTTACAGTGTTATTTAAAACTTTTTTTTTTTTTTTTTAAGAGAGATAGTTTTGCTCAATCCTCACCTCCTAAACTCAGAGATTTTACATTTGTTTGCTTAAATAATATATCGGTACATTATGTCATCACATGCAGGTGTTTCAAGGAGCTGTAGTTTAGCAGTTAGCTTCTACAGTTGAGAACGGCAACTGAACTACAAATCCTAGTAAATTCCTACTGTGACAATGAAATCTGGTTTATGGTTTATACTCAGCACAAACACACAACAAAACAAAAACAAACAAACACAGGAGAGCATCTTGATTGGCTATGTGCGTGGACGCACGCGTGCGCGCACACACACACACACACACACAATATTCCCAAGAAGCCAGTACTCAAGAACTTTTTAAATAAATGTCAATTTAATTATCTAAACAGAGCCATCAATGGTTGAAGTTTCAGTACATATCTCAAACTTCCATCAGGATATATTGAAGAGTATCTAAAAAATTATTTTACAGAGATTCCTGCACTCCTCACCATATATCATTCCATGCCTGGTGCTTATAAAAAAAATAAAAAAATAAAAATACAAAAATACAATGCAAGACAGCACTCCAAGGTCTTCATGATGCAATAAAACCTAGCATGTATTGCTCATATTAAAGAGATTGAGGTTTCAATTTGTCCTCCAAACTTTCATCAGGATGAAAGTTTGGGGGACAAACTGAAACGTCAGTCTTTTTAAAATGAGCAATAAATGCTAGGTTTTATTGCATCATGAAGACCTTGGAGTGCTGTCTTGCATGTGATGTATACACATATGTATTTATTTAAAACTATTTACTTACATACTGCATTTCACAGAAGGGTAATTTCTAGCCAATGTTTATTTAACAAAGTTTGGAACCCTTTCGAAAAGACACACTTTTTATGAGCTACATCGGTCTTGTGATCGAGCAACCAAGTTTCATCCCCCCCAAAACATATAACGTATTCCTAAAGTGTGTGATACAGCAGATATAAGAAGCATTCTTCAGCAGAGTGGGGTCTGTTTGTGTGAGTGAGTTAATGTTCGCGTATCGGTTACATACATGCTGAAGACACTTTGAATCTAGAAATGTAGAAGAAGGTATAGACAGTTTGTGTTTTTTAACCCCGTCCTGGCATTACAGACGGTTATAAAGACTTTTTCTATCTCACATGCAGCTCTCCTCTGTGGATAAATGGCATCTCTACAGGACGATGGACTGCAGGGTCGTGCCTAATAAAATCACTGAAATACAGAGAGATTCTCCTTCTAGGGCCTGGGATAGTGGAGGGCACATCACGGTCATACAGGGCACGTGAATCAGCAGATTTCCCCATTAATATTCCTATCAAGCTTTGCCAAGCGTTTCAGAAATAAAATGACATAGCAGTGAACTGACAGGGAGAGCTATAGTTTGGGACAGGCCGAGAGAAAGATCTTAACTTGCGGTGTCATATAAGAACATATTTACCCACACAGAGTGCCAACACATTCTTCCCTTAATTTCGTTTCCTCTGCAAAATACTGTACGGAACTTAGAGAGAAAAATGAATAAAACATAATGACCCCAGACACAGCTCACTTCCACCCAATAAACAAATCAGGGATGATGGCTTTTATACAGCATGTACAGACAATTTGCACAGAGAAAAGCACAGAGATTCACAGAAATTTGCAGTTTGCATAAAAGGGTTTTTTTTCTTCCCACAATGCTTTGTGCAGCATCCCACAATGCCTAGTGTGTGACCTCATGCCAGGCATTGCGAGAGCATGCACAGACGGCATCGGAAGCAGGGGCCAAGCAGGCACAGCAGTCAATTCATCTATACGTTCCCTAGCAGGGCCGCTACAAAGCTATACATTAAATGTTACAATTTGACTGAAGAGGCTCTTGCCATCCACAGATCCGTGAATTAAAAATCCACATTAAAGCGGCTCTATCATGGGCTTAGCATTATGGGGCGGCACTTTAAGTAGAAAGATTGTGCAATATCAAGGCGAGCCTGAAAAAGACAGCGAGGAATTTTCTACAGTAAAGAAAACCGTGGCGTTCTCAATAAATATTTAATCAAGGCATTTCAGCTCCTGCAATTAGTCCGGGTGTGATTTCCTGGGAACTGTTGAAACAAGGCAAAGAATGTGGAAGATTTGTGTGAAGGGAAAGAAGAGAGGGTGGGGGGGAAAAACAAACCAAAAACTAAACAGGTGCCCACGGAATTCCAATCAGTTCGCAACGCGAGAGACGTGCACAAAACAAATAAATAGAAAATATACAGAGTTATTCACTAAAGCGAAAATTCTACGTGAATTTAAAATGGACGTTCTCTAATTCCGCTTAACTTACATTTCAGCTACTTTGGCCTTATATTTAAAATTTACCGAACATTTCACAGTCAGCATCAATGGCACCAATGCTGCAAGGGGCACTCACAGCACAGGAGTACAGAAGCAGAAAGAAACATGGAAGGCTAGAAGGGGTGCACACACGGAATGTACTACCAGCAGAAGTGGTAGAGGTGAATACATTAAAAGAATTCTAATAAGCAAGCCACAGCAATATATTAAATTATACAATACTGTATTGGGAGCAGGTTTATGGAAACAAATTACAGTAGACTCAGTAGAGGTTTGGAAAGGGTGTCAGAATCCAAAGACTAAGTTTGTTAGAAACTGCGGAGTTTGATTGTAAGCTCTGAAGGTGATTATTTAATTAGGCAGGTTGTCCAAACTGAACATTTTCGGCCAGAATGACAATAATTAGCAGAACATGTGTGAAGAAGACGCAATTCGTGTTCCATTCCACCGATTTAATCCTTCCCAGCATTAAGATCACAGACTGAATATCCAGCAGCTAAAGAGTGAGCAAGTAAAAGACATTAAAGGACTTCTGTATTTTCCTATTATTGCTCCTTGAATAGTCTAACCTGGAATAAAATTACATGTACATTGTAGCAGTCATCCTCCGCAATAAAGTCACCTCCTGCTCCCCACAATAAATGACATTTGTAAATGGATTTAATTGGGTAAATACACTCCAATTTTATACTGGACAGTCTGTAATGGTTTTAGATTTTGCTTTTATAATAGCAAAAGAATGTAAAAATGAACGTTGCTTTAAAAAAACAAAAACAAAAACAAAAAAAAACTGTCAGAATTTATAAAACAAATCCTGTTTGAGTGTCAGGAAATGGAATTGCCAGCTCCCTGATTGACAGGGCTTGTGGGCAGAGCTTATAGGCACGTTTTAAAGCCCTGTTTGACAACCAATTACAGTACCCTGGCGCCATAACCATTTTAATAAACTGAAGTAGCTATGGAGCCCAGAGTGTCTCTTTAGTTTGCAATACATGTCCTGCTTATGTGTTTCCTGAATGTCCTGTGATGTCAAAGTGTAGTCTTATTAATCACAATATACATAAAAGTAACATGTAAATAATGGCAACAGAAACCAAATAGATTAAATTGATTGTTTGCTATGTCAAACAAGACAGATTCTCATTAATCCACCACTAAGGTTTCCAAACAAAATATTGTTGGACGCAAAAGATTAAACATTTAGCCAGTAAACTGGTCTAGTGAAAAGTAGACTAATTTCCCCTAATTACTGAGCAGGTGCTACCTGTCGCTTATTTCCTTGCCTGAGGCTACTGTTAGATACACAGAGGGAGCGAGCCAAGGATGGCCGAGGCAAACCTCAACTTGACTTAACAGACAGAAGAAACACCTGGCTTTACAGCATCCAGTGCACAGAGTACTACTTAAAGGACCAATATAGTGCCAGGAAAACAAACTTGTTTTCCTGGCACTATGGTCCCCCCCACCCTCATGGCCCCCCTCCCGCAGGGCTCTAGCATGAGGAAGGGGTTAAACACTCCCTCGGCGCTGGGGACTCTCCTCCCTCTTCTCAATGCTTTCCTATGGACGCTGGCGTCTTCTCACTGTGAAAATCACAGTGAGAAGCGCCTCTAGCGGCTGTCAATGAGGCAGCCACTAGAGGCTGGTTTAACCCATATGTAAACATAGCAGTTTCTCTGAAACTGCTATGTTTACAGCAGGCATGGTTAACCCTAGATGGACATGGCACCCATAGTGGTCCTATAGTGGTCCTTTAAGTGAAAACCCAGGATGGACAACCCCATAATTCAACACATTATATAAATAATGTAATAACAGTAAAATAATGCTCCCTTTGATGTTATAGGATTGCTGCAAAGACCAGAGTTTGCAGCATCCTGCATCATAACCTTATAGCAGCAGTTATAAAACATCATGTACAGGGAGAAAGGGGACCTCCTTACACCATAACCTTACAGCTGCAGTTATAATACAATGTGTGCGGGGAGACAGGGGACCTCCTTACACCATAACCTTATAGCTGCAGTTATAATACACTGTGTGCGGGGAGACAGGGGACCTCCTTTCACCATAACCTTATAGCTGCAGTTATAATACATCATGTACAGGGAGACAGGGGACCTCCTTTCACCATAACCTTATAGCTGCAGTTATAATACACTGTGTGCAGGGAGGAACTCCTTTCACCATAACCTTATAGCTGCAGTTATAATATACCGTGTTTGACAGTAACCTGGGTTACCAACAGGTGATTTAGTCCAGATGAATAATGTATGAAACAATACTGATATTTATTCTCCAAATTAAGAATTATTAAGAACTGACAAAAGGAAATTTAGGCAAAAATACCCAAATTTGCTTTGTCCAGTCTAATCTCCACAATTTGTAACGTAGGCCCTGATTTAATATTTTTGCATAAACTTTTTTAAAGTTTTTTTTCAGAATATTCTCAAATAATATATTGTACGTAACATAGCGAATAACCCACACCTGTGTAGAATAAGCTGTCACACGCAAGTGTGTGTGTGGGGGGGGGGGTAAAAGGCTCACGCCATTGAACTCCTCGACCACTATTGTAATAGTAGAATTGAACCTGTGATAGAGTGATAGAGTATATTACAAGTACCATACATTATTTATCACGGTCTGTATGGGAGATGGTTTATTATCTAATGGTAAAGATCACCTGTTTAAAATAGTTTGCAATGTAACATAGGATCAGTACTAGCATACAGCATTTTATATACTGCAGCAAATAAGTTGAATTGTGAATTTACAAACATATAAAACATTCCTTTCGTAACTTCCCCGGTTGCACAGCGCTGTGGAATCGAACGATTTATAACTACTTATTACACTTTAGGAGCTTCTAAATAAAAAAAAATAAAAAAATAAAAAAAAGTTTTACAATCTACATAAATATTATTGCCTTAACATGGTTTTACCCAAACTGTGAATTGCCGGAAATGTATCAGGAAAATTCAAATTTAAGGCCAAAATAGTTCTGAAAGATAATATAATACTGTTTACAATACTAAACCTATTTAATTATTACATAAGACAAGGACTGATTTATTGTGACAGGCATACGAGAGAAGATAAATATTACATAGTAACAAGGCAGTGTAAAGCTCAATTTGTACATTTGGCTGCTATACAGACAGTCACTCCGTGCCGTCATCTAACGTCACTCCGCACCCACAGTGTCGCCATTTAACGTCACTCCGCGTCCTCATTTAACGTCACTCCGCGTCCTCATTTAACGTCACTCGGTACCCACAGTGTCCTCATTTAACGACACTCGGTACCCACAGTGTCCTCATTTAACGTCACTCCGCGCCCTCATTTAACGTCACTCGGTACCCACAGTGTCCTCATTTAACGACACTCGGTACCCACAGTGTCCTCATTTAACGACACTCCGCGTCCTCATTTAACGACACTCCGCGTCCTCATTTAACGACACTCCGCGTCCTCATTTAACGACACTCCGCGTCCTCATTTAACGACACTCAGCGTCCTCATTTAACGACACTCGGTACCCACAGTGTCGCCATTTAACGTCACTCCGCACCCACAGTGTCGCCATTTAACGTCACTCCGCACCCACAGTGTCGCCATTTAACGTCACTCCGCACCCACAGTGTCGCCATTTAACGTCACTCCGCACCCACAGTGTCGCCATTTAACGTCACTCCGCGTTCTCATTTAACGACACTCGGTACCCACAGTGTCCTCATTTAACGACACTCGGTACCCACAGTGTCCTCATTTAACGACACTCCGCACCCACAGTGTCGCCATTTAACGACACTCCGCGTCGCCATTTAACGACACTCCGCGTCGCCATTTAACGACACTCCGCGTCGCCATTTAACGACACTCCGCGTCGCCATTTAACGACACTCCGCGTCGCCATTTAACGACACTCCGCGTCGCCATTTAACGACACTCCGCGTCGCCATTTAACGACACTCCGCGTCCCCATTTAACGACACTCCGCGTCCCCATTTAACGACACTCCGCGTCCCCATTTAACGACACTCCGCTCCGCGTCGCCATTTCACGACACTCCGCGTCGCCATTTAACGACACTCCGCGTCGCCATTTAACGACACTCCGCGTCGCCATTTAACGACACTCCGCGTCGCCATTTAACGACACTCCGCGTCCCCATTTAACGACACTCCGCGTCCTCATTTAACGACACTCCGCGTCCTCATTTAACGACACTCCGCGTCCTCATTTAACGACACTCCGCGTCCTCATTTAACGACACTCCGCGTCCTCATTTAACGACACTCCGCGTCCTCATTTAACGACACTCCGCGTCCTCATTTAACGACACTCCGCGTCCTCATTTAACGACACTCCGCGTCCTCATTTAACGACACTCGGTACCCACAGTGTCCTCATTTAACGACACTCGGTACCCACAGTGTCCTCGTTTAACGACACTCCGCGTCCTCATTTAACGACACTCGGTACCCACAGTGTCCTCATTTAACGACACTCGGTACCCACAGTGTCCTCATTTAACGACACTCGGTACCCACAGTGTCGCCATTTAGCGTCACTCCGCACCCACAGTGTCGCCATTTAACGTCACTCCGCACCCACAGTGTCTCGGTACCCGCAGAGTGTCTTCATATTATGTCACTTCATACTCACCAAGTTTTATCATATAATGTCACATCAGCTCTAGGAGGAAATCCAGGAAAAGAAGCAGTGTCCATGGCAGGTCCCAGGGGTGCAGTCAGTCTCTTGCTTGAGAACAGGTGTAAACAAGTGCCAAGCAGGGCATCCCAAAACCTACTGTGTGCAAACACAAACAGTTCCCCCCAATGCTGCAGGGCAGGAGTAACTGCCTAGGGCAGGGGTCAGAGCTGGGAATGAATGGGGAGATGTTTGGCAGGCAGTGAGCTGGGCTCAGGGAGATGTTTGGGGATAAAGTGGGGGGAGGCCTGGGGGCAGGGCTCAGGGCTGGGGAGATTTGGGGGTAAAGTTGGGGGCCTGGGGGCAGGCAGGGGAGCTGGGCTCAGGGCTGGGAGATGTTTGTTTGGGGATAAAGTGGGGAAGGCCTGGGGAGATTTGGGGGTAAAAGTGGGGGAGAGACCTGGGGGCAGAGCTGGGGAGATGGGGAAGGCTGGGAGAGTGGGGGTAAAGTGGTGGGGGCAGGCAGTGAGCTGGGGGCTGGGCTCAGAGCTGGGGGAGATTTGGGGGATAAAGTGGGGGATGAGGGGGAGGCCTGGGAGGGACACAGGTGTCAGCAGCAGCAGCCCCCCACCGCCTGCATGCCGCCCACAGAGGGCCCCAGGCTCAGACTGCGCGGAAATAAGTGAGAGAGTAATTATATCATCTCTCCCAGCACAGCAAACACTTCCTTTTGTTGCTAGGAAACAGGAAATGTGCATCTGATAATGTCTTCCCCCCTGACCCTCTCTGCCTGCGGACCAATCTCCGCGGTCCCCTCCCAATGACGTCCCTGCCAGAGCCCCCAATGGCCGACTTCCCGGAGTAAAGATGGCGTCGGGTTAGGAAGGCTGCGGCGGTTGTCCCACCAAGATGGCGGCTTTTGAGAAGACACGAGTCTCGCTGCCAGTCACAAGATGGCGGAGTGTCGGTTGGCAGACATGCGCACTGCGGCATTCTAAGCGCACACAGCGGGCGCGCCCGATGGTTCTGCCGTGTATTCAGTCCGGCTGGAAACAAGGTCCGTGTGAAAGGGTTCCGTGGGGCCCACTCCGCTGTGCGGGCCGGGGGGCTCCGTTACCGGGTGTGAGGGGGTCTCTCCGTGTGACACAGAGACATGTACCGCGCTCATCGCATGTCCGGGGGACACATTGTACTGCTACACTGCACACTTCCGGAGCCTGCCCCTCCTCCCACCCCAGGGTCCTAGGCCCGGCCATGTTAGCTTTGTCTGGCAGGGTTCATGGCACCCCCAAAACAACGGGGACACAGAGCACCCCAACACTGCTAGCACTGCATCCAGGGAGCAGGTAGGTGGGTCTGGGACAACAGCACTAACCCCAGCAGGGACTGAGCTGGCTGCCAAGAATTATCTGTCTGTCTGTCTGCCAAGAATTATCTGTGTGTCTGTCTGTAAAGAATTGTCTGTCTGTCTGTAAAGAATTATCTGTCTGTCTGTCTGCAAATAATTATCTGTCTGTCTGTCTGTCAAGAATTATCTGTCTGTCTGTCTGTCAAGAATTATCTGTCTGTCTGTCTGTCAAGAATTGTCTGTCTGTCTGTAAAGAATTATCTGTCTGTCTGTCTGCAAATAATTATCTGTCTGTCTGTCTGTCTGTCAAGAATTATCTGTCTCTCTGTCTGTCTGTCTGTCTGTAAAGATCGATCTGTATGTCTGCCAAGAAGTATCTGTCTGTGTGTAAAGAACTATCTGTGTATCTGTCTGCAAAGAATTACCTGTCTGCCAGTAAATAATATTCTGTATGTATGTAAAGAATTGTCTGTATGGACGGAAAGATCTGTTGGTAAAGAATATTCTGTCTGTGGAGCTATCTGTCTGTCTGAACTGAGAGCTGTCTGTCGTGAAAAGATTAACTGTCTGAACTGAGAGCTGTCTGTAAAGCACTGTCTGTCTGTCTATACTGAGAGTGTCTCTGTGTAAACAGTAGTTTGCTTGCACTGTTTGTGTTTAGTGAATCATTTGTGTGTACTGAGTGTTGTTTGTCTTTACTCGGTGATGCCAATTGATCATATTTACTGAGTGACCTGTCTGACTACAAAATGTATTGAACTGTCTGTACTGGGAGATTTGTCTGTCTTCACTAAAGTGTGTGTGTGTGTGTGTGTTCCTGTCTATGAAGAGTTGTTTTTCTGTACCAATGCTGAGTCTGTAATTAGCAATTTCACAAATATCATTACAGCAGCACACCTCGATAATCAATCACACTTTATTATAAGGTGCTTTTAACCCCAATTTCGCATTCTTGTTTTTACTATATATGGAGGTTTTTTCTCTTGAAACAGGCTACTTGTCTGAAACATTGGGAATTTTTTTTATCCTCCTGTTAGTACTTTTGTATCACCATCATGGCCAACTTCAAATGATTTATGTTATTTATGGTGGTGTGCTGCTGTCAATATATTGTGAGATATAACTTTCCAGTCAGCAACTTAAACTGACCTTACCCTGATCTGCACCTCATACAGTGTTTTAAAGGGACACTATAGTCACCAGAAGAACCACAGCTTATTGTATTTGTTCTGGTGAGTATAGTCCGTCCCTGCATGCCTTTGCGCAGTGAACACTGTCTTTTCAGACAATATGCAGTGTTTACATTGCTGCCTAGTGATCACTCCACTGGCCACTCCTCTAGATGGCTAATAGAGGTGCTTCCTGGGGCAGTTTCGGTGTCTCCATCCTCTGCATGGAGACACTGAAGCTGTCACCGAGCCAGCAGACTGAAATAAAGGTAAGATGTTACTATATTCAGGGGGGCTAGATGGTGTTTGTAACACTATATGGTCAGGAATACATGATTCTGACCCTATAGTGTTCCTTTAAGCTTTAAAGGGTTAGTCCAACCATTTTTTTTTTTTTTATCATAAATATATATTTAAATTTCTAATGCTTTATTGGGTGCTAATAGCATGTCCACCCCTATTTTCAGTACTAAAACATAAAAAAATAAAGATAGAATTTACCTTTAATCCAGTGTCTGATGAGGTTCTTCCATGCCACGTCAAATGCACTTCTCATAGAGAACCGTTTGATTTGGCCAATCGCTAGGCTCAGGGTGCATGAGGAGGGAGTTGGGGTGGACAGAAAGAGGGAGGGGATTACATAAAAACAAAATGAGCAGGTATAAATACAAGAAAGGGAGGGGAGATCAAGGCTTCCTCTTGTAGGCGCACTCCCATTACTGCTTGCAAGGGGAGAAGCTCACTGTGTCTGTCACCAGCGCTTTGTGCGCACTGACAACAGACTTATTTTTTGCACAGAATTAACATTAGGCAGTGTGGAACAGGTTTCCAGGCTGCCTAAGTCACGTGTGAAGAGGTGTATCTAGCGCCCGGAACCTTACAGATTCCTACCACCATGACCACTTTTAAAAGCAGAAGTGGTCATGGTGGCTGGAGTTATCCTTTAATCTGGTTTTATGGTTATCATGTGTGCAACTAAATGCTAATGGAAATACATGTGTCTGTCTGTGAAAGATTTGAGCTCCAATACTCCTATCATGAGTAAACTGATTTGTACTCTTGTCTCTATAGGACTCGTTAAACATGGCGTCAGTGAAGATAGAATCCACTATAGAGGTGGTGTTGGAGGACAGCCCTGGGTTTGTGCAGTCTGGTCGTCGCTTCCGTTGCTTGAGCTGCAACAAGACCTTCCCTAACAAGCCCAGGGCCGAGCGGCACTGCTATGCTCATCAAACGGATGGTGCCGCTACCCCTTCTCTTCCCAAAAAGAAACGCATGCCAGGGTCGGAGCAGCGGCATCAGTGTGTTCTTTGTGACAAGTCCTACAAATCGGCTTCATTGCTCAGGAGTCATGCTCGAAGCCACACAGGAGAGAAACCTTTTGTGTGCAAACAGTGTGGGAGATCTTTTATGCAGCCCATTTGTTTGCGGGTGCATATGGCCACGCACAATGGCCAGCTGCCTTTCCCATGTGGGCAGTGTGATAAAGCCTATGCGACACCCTCCAAGCTTCGCATCCACCAGAGGCTTCATACAGGTGAGCGCCCTTTCATTTGCTCTGACTGCGGTAAAGGTTTTGCTGATCCCTCTGTTTTCCGCAAGCACAAACGGAGCCACGCTGGACTAAGGCCTTACCAGTGTCCGCTATGCCAAAAAGCCTATAGTGAACTTAAGGACCTAAAAAACCATGAGCGAAGCCACACTGGTGAAAAACCCTTCTTGTGCTCAGACTGTGGCAAGGCTTTCTCTCGTGCTTCCTCGCTCACATGTCACCAGAGGATCCATGCTACAGAAAAGCCTTACAAATGTCCAATATGCAACAAAGACTTTACTCAGCTTTCATCTTACCAGAGCCACCAACGAACGCACTCAGGCGAGAAGCCTTATTTGTGTGCTCAGTGTGGACGGATGTTCTCTGATCCATCCAGCTTCCGTCGGCACCAGCGGGCACACCAGGGTGTCAAGCCTTACCAATGTGATAAATGCGGAAAGCCTTTTCGGCAGCCAGCAGACCTGGCGATGCACCAGCGCATCCATACAGGTGAGAGGCCATTCCGTTGCACAGAATGTGATAAATCTTTTGTTGCATCGTGGGACCTGAAGCGCCACAGGTTGTCGCACAGTGCAGAGCGACCCTTCCAGTGCCAGGAATGTGGTAAAGGTTTTGCAGAACGCTCGGGACTCAGCAAACACCAGCGCTCACACAGTGGAGAAAGGCCATTCAAGTGTCCAATCTGTGACAAGAGCTTTGTAGTATCTTCCAGCCTTCGGAAACATGAGCGCACTCACCAGAAAGTCGAACGAGAGGTCAGTAGGAAGAAAGAAGAATCTACCACCTGCGAAAAGTGTTCCCTGATCTTTCCTAGCGTGATGGACCTTAGGAACCACCAAAGGATTCATCCAGAGTTACGACCCTTCCGCTGTGACCAGTGTGAAAAGGGCTTCATAGATAGAGCAGGGCTCAAAAAGCATCAGCGGATACACAGCGACGTACGTCCCCATGTGTGCGCGCTATGCGGAAAAGGCTTTCTAGTGCCTTCTGACCTGCGCAAGCACCAACGGACACATGCAAAGGACAGCAAGGAGAAACCAGAGGATGAAGAAGAGGAACAAATTACAACCTTGACCCTTCATCCGGCCTCTGTAGAACCTCCACCTCTATTTGACCCTCTGGTTTCCTTTCTGGAGAAAGTGGCAGAAGGTGATATGGAAGTGATTGCACCTTCACCTAACTGACCACTATCCTGTAATAGATTCCAGATGGTCTCTCTGTTGTTAGTGTCTGCCTAATGTCCTCCTGTTTACAAACACAGAACTTGCAAAGAAAAACATTGGACTTAGAATCTCCAGCTTTCTCTCCACCAGTTATTCTCTGCTTATATGATTTATCAGATGTCTAGAATCAATAAGCCTCATATAATCCTCCAATACTATGATAATAAACCGCAGCCCATGGAACTCTGGTCACAATTTTGGTTTTCTGGTGTATCAATATTGTACTTCCTAATTTTATAAATCACATTTGCCTTTTCATTAGTGGTTCTGGTATACCATAAACCAACAGTAAATGGGTATATAAAAGTCACTGCTACAGAGTGTGACCAATTATAGAAAATTATATTTATTTATTTTTTTGAGTAAGGAATACTGGGAGATGGGGAGAAGACTTTACTAACCTCTACGCCATGACTCATGCCAGTATCATCCTGTACTTCATAATAAGTAGCTATGTGAATTCTTGACACAAATTCAGATTCACTGCAAGAATACTGTGACATCTCCCCAAAAGTACAAAACAGTCACTGTATTTATAGATTTCAAAGTTTTTGGATTCTTTAAAGGGGCAGTACCTTGGAAATGTAGCATTATTATTTTTTTTATTTGAAGCACGGTGTTAGATGAGCATATAAATAACCATATTTGCCTTTTGTGATTAAGCAGCTTGGTTTTAAAAAGCAAATGTTAAATGGAGACCTCCTAATTTACTGTTAGCTACTGTCCAGCAACGTGAATAGATGTCTGTGTTTAGCTGAGCATTCTATACGCAAGTCTTTCGAAAGAAATTAACAAACATTGCAATTGTAATTTTATTTGGCAAAGCTTAATGTGTTTACAGTAGATTATATTGTGTGTTTAAATTAATATAATTTTTACAAATCACGTTAGTGTCCCTTTAAACTGGCTAGGAGGATATTCTAGGAAAACCAGAACCGTAATTATAAATAAACAAAAATAATAATTTAATAAATTAAAAATAATAATCATGGCAAACCACAATTAAGTGAAGACAGATATCTTTTATTTTCCTTCAGCTGGTTTCCAAAGCTATGAAAAATGGCGGGCCCCTGAGGTAGAAGTGCATGCTGGTAAATACTGTCATCGGTATTGATTAACAGAAAAACTCTCACACAGTATTCTATCAGGGGTAGGCAGCCTTGGGCACTCAATATGTTGTAGACTACATCTCCCATAATGCTGACAAAGCATCATGGGAGATGGGAGACTTGAGATCTGTGGTACTGAGGGTTGCCTACCCCTGCTTTGCGTCCGTTACTGTGGTATAACAAAACCCACAATGATTTCGTACTCTGTGGACAGTGTACACAGCTCCCAGGACTATTCTCTCTGAACATTTCACTAATGTGTGATCTGTTTGGAATCCAGGGTAAATTTTGATATTTCAGACCACAGCAGTTAAACGGGAAAAATTCTCCATGTCTGTGATACTCAGTTTGACTAGTTTGGCCTAAAATCTAAACTTCACTTTGAATTCTGGGAATTTGTAGTTTAGTGAATAATAATGACCAGTAAAAGAGGGATTTGGTGGGCTTTGGCAAGGGAACTTTCAGATTTTAGCCAAAATAGCTAAAATGTAATAATTCTCTAACTCTGCACTTTTTCCTGCTTGTTTATTTGGGACTGTTTGCTGTTCCCCCATCAAGTCTGCATAATTCTGCATTTAGTGAACAAACAGTCCGTGTATGTAAACTGTCACTTCAATAGAGTCATTCACAACCCGTGAGCCGTGAACATGTGGAGGGTTTTTGATTAAAGGGACACTGTAGACACAATAACCATTTCATATTGTTGAAGTGGTTATAGTGCCTGTATTCCCCTGGCACTGTCCCTCCATTCAGAGTTAAACTATTTTTGAGCAGTTCAACACTGAATGAGGCTATCTGGCTTCTGTAGCCCCACCCCCACTGGAGGTGTGGCTATGGGAGAGATTACACACTTCCTTTGAACCATACCAATTCTTATCAGCAGTGGGGGCTGAGAAGCTCAAGCCAATGTTTTCTCATTCGTCGTGGCAGCACAGAGGGGATGGGCTGCTGGGCTTCTAGTTTAGCATTAAAAACGGAGTTAACGCTGATGGGAAGAACAGAGCCAGGGAATAAGCACTTCAATGTTTCACGTTACCTCATATGAAAATTAGCCCCATGAACTATGAAATGAGCTATTTGTATAAATGGGCACACTGACCATTTCAAAGCCATAGGTTCTGCATCTTAAAAGGACCATCTTCTGATTGTCACAGTGAATAACTGTTCACTTACTAACGTTTTCCACACACCGTACCCATCCTGAGCCCTAGTTTCAGTAACTTAAAGGGACACTATAGTCACCAAAACAACTTAATGAAGCAGTTTTGTTGTATAGATCATGCCCCGCATTCTCACTGCTCAATTCTCTGCCATTTAAATCACTTTGTTTTTGAAACCTTAGTCACATTTCACTGCATGTGATTTACACAGCCTTCGTAAACACTTCCTGTAAAGAGTCATCTAATGTTTACACTTCCTTTATTGCAAATTCAATCATTTACATCACTTTGAAACCATATATTTTTTCATGCAGGTTGTGTGGCTGAATATACAGAAACAAAGGGATATAACTCCTAAATGGTAGAGAATTGAGTTAAGTGAGACTACAGGGGCATGATCTATACACCAAACTGCTTCATTAGGCTAAAGTTGTTTTGGTGACTATAATGTCCCTTTACTTTTATTGGAACTGCTTTGTTTGAAAGAGTTGCAATCCGTTCATCATTTTCTCTAAAAGCTGTTCTGAGATTCTGCTTCGAACTTCCATCACCGGGTGCTATGCTTACAGTGTTATCTTGTATTATTAAAAAGTATATAGTGTGTTTTATGATAAGTGATATAATTCACATCTATGTAACTAGCTATCACAGGCTGTGTTTGCGGGTGGTGTTTATTCTATAAACCAAAAATTACAGGGGAATTGTAGATTATGCTAACGCAGTGTATTTATAAGCTTAATTTTAGTAATGACAGGAGGCGAGTATTTTTGCATTGACTTGATAAAAACATCGGAACATTTAGAACGCAACTATTCATTTTGGAACCTCAGCATAATTCTACAATTCCCTGTTTGGTGAATAAAAACCTGTGGGTTTGCGCTGTCTTACCCTAGAGTTAGCCGTCTATGCAGAAGCCTAACCCGCAGAGCTTACAATCTTTTGTTCCCAATAATTAGGGTATACTGTAAATTGCATTGATATCACAAACTAATGTGTCAGAATAAGCACAAATATGTACCAGCTCCATTCCCAGAAAAACTCACGTTACTATTTAAGCTCAATTTAAATGATTGAGAAAGTTCATAAAATAAAAATATATAGGTGAACTTGCAAATTAAAAGTTTGTTGCATCACTCTTGCAGTTTATGGCAGACTGGGCGCTGCCATTACTGCTTCTTCCTCTGTGCATTGTCTGGTCGCTAAGATTTGAAATATGTCTTCATTCTGATTGGCTGAAAACCACAACCAATCAGAATACAGCTTTGGGTCTACCTTCCTGTGGCTTCCTTTTAATAGTAAAATGCAAATCGCAAAAAACCTAATAACCTAGGTATATGTAAAATGTGTGCAAATATTTTATGTCAAATCTATTTCTATTAAGGTATTGCTAAAGAGTACGGAATTATTTCAACACGTTAATTTTATATTTCCAATCAATGTGAGTGAAAGGTTCGTCAGCAGGAAAATGAAAACTTTATTATTCTGCGCTGAAACTTCAGGCAGCTGAGCGTGAATGTTAAAAAAAAAAAAAAAAAGGTTTTAAAAATTGCTTATTGGACTTAACGGGACAGTCATGGAAAGTGGTCAGAAAACTATAATCAGGGTGCAGACTGTCAGAATTGAAAAGTTAAATATTCATATTTGAAACAAACAATATTTAGCATTTCAATTTCAGTGCAACTGATCTTGTATAATTTTTATCTATAGCATTTGTTTTTAAAAAAAAAAAAAATGGCAACAGTAACTGGTTTTCTTGAAAGGGAAGGCAACATGTAATCTATTTTACTATCGATGTAAATAAAGTATTGGGTGCTTGTGATATAACAATGTTTACATGCAGTTAGATCTTCCAAACCATTGTTATATTAAAGTGAACCTGTCCACCTTTTCGCTCCATTAAATGTATTTATCTATAATGTCTGTGACCTACACTTTGTTTGTTGCTCCTTTTAAAGGAACACTATAGTCACCTAAATAAAGCAGTTTTAGTGTATAGATCATTCCCCTGCAATTTCACTGCTCAATTCACTGTCATTTAGGAGTTAAATCACTTTGTTTCTGTTTATGCAGCCCTAGCCACACCTCCCCTGGCTATGATTGACAGAGCCTGCATGAAAAAAACCAACTGGTTTCACTTTCAAACAGATGTAATTTACCTTAAATAATTGTATCTCAATCTCTAAATTGAACTTTAATCACATACAGGAGGCTCTTGCAGGGTCTAGCAAGCTATTAACATAGCAGGGGATAAGAAAATCTTAATTAAACAGAACTTGCAATAAAGAAAGCCTAAATAGGGCTCTCTTTACAGGAAGTGTTTATGGAAGGCTGTTCAAGTCACATGCAGGGAGGTGTGACTAGGGTTCATAAACAAAGGGATATAACTCCTAAATGGCAGAGGATTGAGCAGTGAGGCTGCAGGGGCATGTTCTATACACCAAAACTGCTTCATTAAGCTAAAGTTGTTCAGGTGACTATAGTGTCCCTTTAATAGCCGCTAGAGCCAGTCAGCTGTCAACAACTAGGAGGTGCGAACATGCAAAACCAGTGAAATGCCGTTTGCAATTACTGTTATTTTAGCAGATCAGTTCTCAAGTCAGGCACACATTAATTTCATGTGTTAAAGGAAGCAGGATTGATGAAATGATCTGAATACCTTTGACATGGGCCAAATAGTGATGGCAAGTCTTGTGGGATGTTCCCAGTATGCAGTGGTTGGTACTTTACAAAAGTGATGCTAGGAAGGACAACACAGGTGTCAGGTTCATGGGCACGCAAGGTTCATTCATGCAGGCTAAGAGCGAAGGCTAGTCTGTCTGGTCCAATCACATATTAGATCTGCTGTAGCTCAAATTGCTGAAAAACTTACTGCTGGCAATGATAGAAATGCCTCACAGTTTGCTGCGTATGGGGCTGCGTAGCCGCAGACAATGTCAGAGTGCCATGAAGACCCTTGTCCACCGTCGAAAGCACCTTTAATGGGTACATAAGCACCAGAAATGAACTGTGGAGTAATGGAAGAAGATTGCCTGATCTGATGAATCACATTTTCTTTTAGAGCACATGGATGGCTGGGTGCATGTGTGTTGTTTACCTAAGGAAGAGATGGCAGCAGGATGCACAATGGAAAAAAGGCAGGCTGGCAAAGGCAGTGTCGTGCTCTGTGTAATGTTCTGCTGCGAAACCTTTGGTCCTGGCATTTACATGGATGTTACTTTGACACATACCACCGATTTTAGAAATTATTGCAAATTACGTGCACCCATTCATGGCAGTGGTATTCCCTGATGGCTGTGACCTCTTGCAGAAGCATAATACACCCTGCCACACTGTACAAATTGTTCATAAATGGTTGGAGAAACATGACAAAGAGTTCAACGTGTTGCCCTGTAGAATGCAAAGCCTAATTATGACATTACTTCCTATCAAAGGGAAACCCACTGAAATGACGTGGGACTTCTATCTGAGTAAAACTGACTGATCCATCCGATAACACATACCTTGAGCTTAATTATTTTTACTAGTGTTAGCAGTGAGGAGAGAGAGGATGTCAGGTCAGGAGGTGAAGTATTCTTTTCATGGTGTCTGGTGGAGTACCGGCTGTCTGCGCATTCTCAAGTATGCAGAAACTGCATTTACGCTCCTCTTCTTAAAAGGACACTAAGCATTTCATCTCATTGAATTATCATTAAAGGAACACTTTAGGGTCAGGAGCAAACATGTTTTCCTTACCCTATAGAGTTAAAACCACCATCTGTCCCCCTCCCCCATGTGCCCCTAAATATAGCAAAATCTTCCTTGTAGGCAGCTGCTGCTCCTGATCTGCCTGCTTGGCTGACATCATCAGAAGTGATTCTCTGAGCCAATCACAATGCTTTCCCACAGGATTGTCCGAAACTGTCAAGGAGGCAGATTAGGGGCAGAACCAGCACAAGCCAAACACATCACTGGCCAATCAGCATCTCATCATAGAGATACATTGAAAAAGTGCATCTCTATGAGGAAAGTTCAGTGTCTCCAGGGTGGAGACATTGAATGTCAGTCACACTGTGCACCTCTAGCAGCCATCTGAGGACTGGCCAGTCTCTGAAAAGACAGTGCTTACTGCAAATAAATAAAATTTAAAAAAGCCTGAAGGGACTGACTATACTCACCAGAAAAAAAATATAATAAGCTGTAGTTGTTCTGGTGACTATAGTGTCCCTTTAATTAGTAACCAATTGGCACTTTCCCTCTGCAAGCAGTTTAACACTAAATAAGGGTCCATAACCACCCACAGCCCACCCCTACTGGACGTGTAACTAATGCAGAGCTTACACACATTTCTTTGTTGTCACGCTGATCCGTACTGTGATAGGCTGAAAGCAATCAGCTGACACACCCAGTCAGAGCCACAAATTGCTGCTCAGGCTTATGCTTCCTCATTAGCCCCGGTGTTCTATCAAATTCCCCTACCCGTGAAAATCCCCTACCCTCCTCACTTCCGGTGAGGGGAATCAGCTGGATCCTGTGCTGCACATGCCAGCACTCCTGCTACTCCTCCACAGCAAGTTCCTGGAAGGTAAGTAAAACTAGTTTTACACTTTCATTATAGTTAGTGCATTCACTAAGCTTAGGCACACGGGACATTTAGGGTTAAGCGAGGGTTCAAATTAGGGTTAGGTAAGTGCTGCTAACCTCTCTCACACTCTATTCTTACCCTAACCCTTGGGGGAAGGGTTAAAATAAAGTGTGAAAAAGCACAATTTAGTGATATTCCCCTAATGTGAAATATCACTAAATATGAACAAGTCCCTAATCCTAACCCTAATTTGAACCCTAACATTAACCCTAAATGTCCCATGTCCTAAGCTTAGTGAATGCACTAACTATAATGAAAGTGTAAAACTAGTTTTACTTACCTTCCAGGACCTTGCTGTGTTACTTACCTTCCAGGACCTTGCTGTGTTACTTACCTTCCAGGACCTTGCTGTGGAGGAGTAGCTGGAGTGCTGGCATGTGCAGCACAGGATCCAGCTGATTCCCCTCACTGGAAGTGAGGAGGGTAGGGGATTTTCACGGGTAGGGGAATTTGATAGAACACCGGCAGCAGAGAGGGGGGAGGCTGCTGAGAACTTGTGTATAGCATTAAAACATTAACACTTCTATGAGAAGAAGTGTCCCTTTAAGAATCCCTATTCCCAGCACAGGAAGGATGATACAGCAGGTCATTTCTTATCGGTGCCTGGAATCAGAATGAGGTTTGTGAAAGCAAGTGAAGCTGTATCGGAAAATGCAGACATGCTCTCTTGCAGCCTATGGGGGATCAGGGACAGGACTTCTCAGAATACGGCCCTTTCTGTTATACCATGGTGATCTGGATTAGTCATGTCCCGTTATAAGCCTGACTCAGGATAAAAAAGGAAACAAAGTAGCCCATAGAAAAACAATTGCTTTGTAAGCTGATCTTAGTAAACAGCAAAATGTCTCAACAATACACATCCAAAACACCTAAAGAAATATACAAATGGCACGGGGGGAAATTATACAACCAATTATATAGTTTTATTTCAAAAGTTATAAAATAGGTGTACAAAACATCCAGCAATAGAGCCATGCTACTTCAGCATGACCAGTATGTACAGCTCAGTACAGACAGACAGACAGTGACACACCATACCATCTATGCCCAAAACTCAAACACACTCATACACCATACCATGTATGCTCCACCTCACATACACCATCATGTATACAGCATGACAGACACTACTACACCATTATGTATATTCGGTGTAACAGCCTTACCGAACAGACATTAATACAGTATTGTATATTATGACAGCCTCACCTCACACAGACACCAATACATGATCATGTGTATTCCGTGACAGCTTCACTACACAGATATTAATACATGATCGTGTGTATTCCGTGACAGCTTCACTACACAGATATTAATACATGATTATGTGTATTCTGTGACAGCCCCACCTTACACACACACAAACACACACACACTAATACACCATGAAGCATATAGCAAGGCAGACTCACCTCACGCAGATACTATCACAAATATACCGTGAAAGCCTCACAGACAATACTCCCCTACCCTGTGTATACAGTGACACCCCAAACTGACATTATGACATGAAATTTATACATAGCACAGGACGTGACAGCCACACATACAACACTGAGCTTGAAGCAGGATGGCAGCTTTCCTTTTGTCCTACATCATAACATGACACAGCACACACACACACCTTTGCAGAGCCAGACTGACCCTTTCATTGTTAAATTATATACAGAGGGTATATTTATTTATAAAGCACTTGATCAGCACCCACAGGAAGGCACATAGAAGAGCAGGCACACCTGGTTAAAAAGACAAAACACAACAATTATTCTTATACAGCAAGTCCCATCCCTGTCACTTGCCAAATCTCCTACTTCCAGTATAGAGCCATTGGACATTCAACCCCAACACTTTATAACATGTCCCGACAACTACTTTCCGGAGGCCATCACGGCAGAAGGAGTATGAGGTCACAGTGCAAGCAGCAAGGCAAGGGCGGGTTCTGATCCAATTAAGTGAACAATGTCACAATGATGATGAGGATGATGACCAGAAGCAGAACGGAGACACAGATTGCGATGTAGACTTTCTTCTGCAAAGTAAAGACGGCACTTGGTCAGCCAAAAGGACTTACTGGAATGTAGTACACGCGGTGGTCAAATTAAAGTTCTCCAAATATGGGCCACTGTACCACCAGTGACTGTCTAAGAAGATTACATGATTTACACACCTGCCAGCAATGGGTGTGACTAGAATAGCGGATCTGACTGCACGTTATCAGGACAGGCTCAGACAGCCATGGGTTTATATCTAATGTAGGGGATCTGACTGCACGTTATCAGGACAGGCTCAGACAGTGCTGGGTTTAAATCTAATGTAGGGGATCTGACTGCACGTTATCAGGACAGGCTCAGACAGTGCTGGTTTATATCTAATGTAGGGGATCTGACTGTATGTTATCAGGACAGGCTCAGACAGCGCTGGGTTTATATCTAATGTAGGGGATCTGACTGTACGTTATCAGGACAGGCTCAGACAGCGCTGGGTTTATATCTAATGTAGGGGATCTGACCGCACGTTATCAGGACAGGCTCAGACAGCGCTGGGTTTATATCTAATGTAGGGGATCTGACAGCACATTATCAGGACAGGCTCAGGCCATGCCACGTCTTGCTTGGTTTGGGGTTTTTCCCCCATGCTGTATAGTACTCATTTTAAAGTGATCCTTTATTTTACCTTTCTTGCTTTGTGCTTATTCTCCACAGCCTTAGTGAGCTGTTTTTGGGCACTCTCCACATAATCTTTGGAATGCAGAATATTTTTCTCAATGTTATCTATTGTCTCCCCCTGAAAAAAAATAAGAGATATTGAAAGAAGCAAAAAACATGACTGAACAGGTGCCACAGACATAGAACATGTAGACATCAGAGGGTGTAAGAAGATTAAGCATTACAAAAAAAATAATCAGGATAGACTGAAGTACTTTAGAAAATAAAATATGAATACTTTAACCGAAGTAGTACACAGATAGCAGACATAGCTCAAGGTGCTATGAATGAGAATGGGTTGGTAGAGGGACTGCACCCCACCTGAGCTTCCACCTCCATAGCGAGAAATGTGAACATCTCATGAAGCTCCACAATGCTCTTCTCCAACTTTAGGATCTCTTCATGTCGCGCCTCAATCTCATTCAGAGCCTGTTTGGCAGCCTGCGTGTCTTGTAGGATCTGTAACAGGAGAAGCACAGTTAGTACAGGCTTTGCAGCCAAACGATAAGAATCCTTTACACCGCATCCGCGGCTAATCCGTAACAATCCCTCACACCGCATCCGCGGCTAATCCGTAACAATCCCTCACACTGCATCCGCGGCTAATCAGGAACAATCCCTCACACCGCATCCGCGGCTAATCAGTAACAATCCCTCACACCGCATCCGCGGCTAAATCAGTAACAATCCCTCACACCGCATCCGCGGCTAATCAGTAACAATCCCTCACACCGCATCCGCGGCTAATCCGTAACAATCCCTCACACCGCATCCAAACAGTAACAATCCCTCACACCACGGCCAAACCACAACAATTCCTCACACCACATCTGTGGCCAAACAGTAACAATCCCTCGCACCGCATCAGAACAGTAAAAATCCCTCACACCGCATCCGCGGCCAAACAGTAAAAATCCCTCACACCGCATCCGCGGCCAAACAGTAAAAATCCCTCACACCGCATCCGCGGCCAAACAGTAAAAATCCCTCACACCGCATCCGCGGCCAAACAGTAAAAAACCCTCACACCGCATCCGCGGCCAAACAGTAAAAAACCCTCACACCGCATCCAAACAGTAACAATCCCTCACACCGCATCCAAACAATAACAATCCCTCACACCGCATCCAAACAATAACAATCCCTCACACCGCATCCGCGGCCAAGTAGTAACAATCCCTCACACCACGGCCAAACCACAACAATTCCTCACACCACATCCGTGGCCAAACAGTAACAATCCCTCACACCGCATTCACAGCTAATCCGTAACAATCCTTCACAGAGCATCCAAACAGTAACAATCCCTCACACCGCATCCACGGCCAAAAGTAACAATCCCTCACACCGCATCCGCGGCCAAAAGTAACAATCCCTCACACCACAGCCAAACCACAACAATTCCTCACACCATATCCGTGGCCAAACAGTAACAATCCCTCACACCGCATTCACAGCTAATCCGTAACAATCCTTCACAGAGCATCCAAACAGTAACAATCCCTCACACCGCATCCGCGGCCAAACAGTAACAATCCCTCACACCGCATCCGCGGCCAAACAGTAAAAATCCCTCACACCGCATCCGCGGCCAAACAGTAACAATCCCTCACACCGCATCCAAACAGTAACAATCCCTCACACCGCATCCAAACAATAACAATCCCTCACACCGCATCCAAACAATAACAATCCCGCACACCGCATCCAAACAATAACAATCCCTCACACCGCATCCAAACAGTAACAATCCCTCACACCGCATTCACAGCTAATCCGTAACAATCCTTCACAGAGCATCCAATCAGTAACAATCTCTCACACCGCATCCGCGGCCAAAAGTAACAATCCCTCACACCGCATCAGTGGCAAAACAGTAACAAATTCTCACACCGCATCCACGGCCAAACAGTAACAATCCCTCACACCGCATCAGTGGCAAAACAGTAACAATCCATCACACCGCACCCATGGCTTCCACTTACCATGGAGTTAAAACCAGCAGATGTAATACTTGGAAGTCACCACTAGCCGTCCTACACATTTCGTCTGGGTTGGGGACTACCTCAGGGATTCTGCTTTTACAAACAAGATACACCTAGGTAAAAAATAACAAGAAAGGAACAATCATAGGGAAACACTTTAGTTAATGGCACCCTAAAATAGTATTGCACTCACAAAATGATGATGAAAATCAAGCCCATCTAGGTTTTCTTTAGTCTTGTCAAGAAGTCTTGTGAGGGAATGGTTGATTCCTCAAATGAATATGTAAAAAGAAAAACCAAACATGGTATAGAATTGTATGATAAAAAGAAATTATATTTTATTGGAAACACTTTGAATTGAAATTGAAGATAAAAGCGCCCATCAAGTAAATGACTCTCTTGCAGAATGACAATCAGAGGTTGCAGATACAAAAAATGGCGAATCAAATATAAAACAGCTCTACGCGTTTCGTCTAAAATCTTAGACTTCCTCAGGAGCAAAAAGTAAAAAACAATCAAATAAATCACAATGTAATAAGTCCATAAGTGCTAGTGTTGTCTTCTGTTCGGTCTTCTTTTAAGTGTGTCTTTTGCCGGGTTCTCGTTCGCGCCGTCCAATCCGTGAGCTTGACATCACCTGATTTCGATGTGCTTAAGTCCCAGTCCATATATGGACTTCCGTCAGTCATTCCGTGGAGCGCATATGCGTTCCACCGAACTGGAAGGGAGAACCTTCTTCCGCATACGTCATTGTCAACTGGAACGCACATGCGTTCCACCAAGCCGTTGCCTTCACCGTAATTAGTCCGTGCTCAGAAAGAGGACAAATTGGCAGAGAGATACAAAATTAATTGTACAGAGCATAAAGCTGGCATTATAAATGTGTATATATACATCAAATATGAAAAAAGTAATATGATCAAAGGGAAGGATCTTGGATACACTAAATAAAGAACAAAGCACTAAAAAAAAAATATAAATAATAATAATAAAATATGACTAAAATACGATTTAAAAAATAGCAGTAAAAATAAAAATAAATAGAAACTAAAAATAATAAAAATAGTAAATATAAAATAAGATAATAAATTAAAATAACATTAAAGAAAACATATAAAATCAAAATCCACATTCAACCCCTGAGGTTGAAGGGTTTTTAATTTATGGATCCAAAATCCTTCCCTTTGTCTTAATTTTATGGTGATATCTCCATCCCTTGCATCAAGTGATACCTGTTCAATAATCACCCAAGAAAAAATGTGAGCGGAAAAATGGGGACACTGATTGCAATGAACGGGAACAGAGTGATTGACCATTTTGCGTCTAATATTATTCTTCTGTTCTAAGAAATGAAATTTGGCCCCTCCTTCCTTCTTGTGATATGGAAGGGGTCTGAAGAACATTTATTAAATTTCTTTAAATATCTCAATGACAACACCTTTTCACTCGTTTTTTCCCCCCCATGTATAACTTTACTACCATAGACTTTTTAGATTTGACTATCTTTATACAAGGAGGTCACATTCAGACCAAAACATACTTCAAACCCACCAACACTAATTGGTTGTCGGGAGTACCTAGAAGCCAGTACACCTGACTTCGAAGGAATTGTTCGAATAAAGAGGTTTTTTTAAAACAAGCAGATATCCTGACGAATAAATTTATCGAGAAAGGTTATAATAAGGAGGTCCTAAATAGAGAAATAGAGAAAGCGGCGAACACTAAAAGGGGTGATCTTTTGATTGATAAAATTAAATGCACTGAGAATTCGAATAATAAGAAATTCGAATTTTCCTTTCACACTAATTATAATTCTAAAGCTTTTGCAATTAATAAAATTTTCAAAAAACCTTGGGAGATTTTAAGACACGATCAATTTATAGGCTCCCAATTACCCATTTACCCTCAAATAGTATATAGGAAAGGGAGGAGTTTTTCATCCTATTTAGCACATAGTCACTTTCGAAGTGGGGACCAACGGGAATTAAAGGGGAACAGAGGATTTTACACCTGTGGCACTTGCAAAGCATGCAAAGGTCTACCATCTCATACTCGTTCTTTTTCAAGTTTTATAACTCAAGAAACCTTCCAGAACCAAAGTCGGGTGACCTGTTCTTCTTCACATGTTGTATACCTCCTCACATGTGGGTGTGGTGTCCAGTATGTGGGGAGGACAGGAAGGAGGGCCAAATTACGTTTCTTAGAACATAAGAATAATATTAGACGCAAAATGGTCAATCACTCTGTTCCCGTTCATTGCAATCAGTGTCCCCATTTTTCCTCTCACATTTTTTCTTGGGTGATTATTGAACAGGTATCACTTGATGCAAGGGGTGGAGATATCACCATAAAATTAAGACAAAGGGAAGGATTTTGGATCCATAAATTAAAAACCCTTCAACCTCAGGGGTTGAATGTGGATTTTGATTTTATATGTTTTCTTTAATGTTATTTTAATTTATTATCTTATTTTATATTTACTATTTTTATTATTTTTAGTTTCTATTTATTTTTATTTTTACTGCTATTTTTTAAATCGTATTTTAGTCATATTTTATTATTATTATTTATATTTTTTTTTTAGTGCTTTGTTCTTTATTTAGTGTATCCAAGATCCTTCCCTTTGATCATATTACTTTTTTCATATTTGATGTATATATACACATTTATAATGCCAGCTTTATGCTCTGTACAATTAATTTTGTATCTCTCTGCCAATTTGTCCTCTTTCTGAGCACGGACTAATTACGGTGAAGGCAACGGCTTGGTGGAACGCATGTGCGTTCCAGTTGACAATGACGTATGCGGAAGAAGGTTCTCCCTTCCAGTTCGGTGGAACGCATATGCGCTCCACGGAATGACTGACGGAAGTCCATATATGGACTGGGACTTAAGCACATCGAAATCAGGTGATGTCAAGCTCACGGATTGGACGGCGCGAACGGGAACCCGGCAAAAGACACACTTAAAAGAAGACAACACTAGCACTTATGGACTTATTACATTGTGATTTATTTAATTGTTTTTTACTTTTTGCTCCTGAGGAAGTCTAAGATTTTAGACGAAACGCGTAGAGCTGTTTTATATTTGATTCACCATTTTTTTGTATCTGCAACCTCTGATTGTCATTCTGCAAGAGAGTCATTTACTTGATGGGCGCTTTTATCTTCAATTTCAATTCAAAGTGTTTCCAATAAAATGTAATTTCTTTTTATCATACAATTCTATACCATGTTTGGTTTTTCTTTTTACATATTCATTTGAGGAATCAACCATTCCCTCACAAGACTTCTTGACAAGACTAAAGAAAACCTAGATGGGCTTGATTTTCATCATCATTTTGTGAGTGCAATACTATTTTAGGGTGCCATTAACTAAAGTGTTTCCCTATGATTATTCCTTTCTTGTTATTTTTTATCTAGGTGTATCTTGTATGTATTCTATGAGGCTCTGAGGAACCTTTTGTTACAACCTAGACTTTTTAAGGGAAGTAATTTTTACCTTATTTTATGTTGGTTTGCTGCACTTGGGTGGTCTTTTATTAGACACGTATTCTGCTTTTATAAGTCACAGTTTACAATAATTCATGGTGACTTCTAAGTATTACATCTGCTGTTTTTAATTCCAATGTAAGTGAATTATTGTTTTTATACTACATTGCCTACTTGCACTACAATTCTATAAATTTTATCTTGAGTGGATGACTTCTCATTGTCAGTGAAGACCTATGGTGCTCTGAGCAACAAGAAAATGTAATCCTTTGAGGGGAGATGTTTTACAAGGCCTCATTTCAACATTCAAACTGTGAGTGACCAATTGGAACTGCACATTTTGGCATATTATTAACACAGTTATACGCTATGTTGTTTTGCTTTTTGCTCTTCGAGCAGACGTTTCTCACACACAGGACTGTCCTACATTGAAGTCCTCATTCCGATCTGTGGGGTGTTTGCATGCAATCCTTACATTGCAGGTGAATACGTTAATCTGTCCACTCTCCAACATCTCATCAAACGTCTCATCAGTAACGCTGTGCCCGGCTGTGAAACACGGAGAAAGACATCTTACAGATATTGCGCACAGAGGAAATCGGCGATATCAGCAGAGAACATAAAATAATAGTGCATTCAATGTGTATACCGATCGTTCTCTTTCACGGGTAAATTTTTATTATAAGAAAGAAAATAAATCAATTTGTATTTTATTACCGAAAGTCCATTTGGTGCAGTGATTTAGCAGTTATCACAGTTAGACGGGTTCTTCAAAGCTAGCAGAGGTATCAAAAAAACATGCCGTACTGCAATTACTGCTGCACAACGTCCCAGGCTAACCTTTGGCAACATCCTGATTGCACCCCGCTACACCAAGGCATACCCAGAATGGCGGAAACCGCATGTCCCCAGCTTATCTATACCAGAGTGATGTCCAAGTTGGACAAACTCCTCCAGGGTTTCTAGAGGAAGCTGCACTTCCAGCAACCTGTGCCTGCCCTACAAGCCGAGCAGGATCACTCGCCTCTGAGTTCTCAACGCAAGCCTTGGATCAGGCCCAAGGCGTCAGAGAAGGCCACATTGAAGGCCCGCGAGGGGTGCGGTGCACAACCCTGTCTCAAAGCAGGGCACCGACAGAGCAGAAGGAGAGAGTCTTAGATGGGAATCTGTCAGGAAAGAAGAGCATAAGGAGCCAAGGGTGATAACTGCTCACCAAAGCGCAGCAACGACTACATAATCCCCAACACAGATAGCAGACTCTACTGTATGGGACTGCTTTTATGCCCATGGTGGGCATAGGCTGAATAACCTGATGGACACCCTGCTCAACCTCCTATTACACACAGTCAGGAGAAATTATATTGGAGTCAGGGTATCTTTGCTTCTAAGCCTACTTTTAAGAGATTGCCTACTACGTATATTAGCTTGCCTAAATCTGTTGTCCCTTAACCCTAATTTCTGCTGGCATGCATCAGATAATTGTATTCCTTCACTTATGCTACCATTTATGTAGGATATCTCTACAGTCTCACCAGGGCTGCCCACGGTGGTGTATTCAGTTGTTCACTTAACCTACAGTTACAAACAATTGTGCAGTTTTAACGCTTCAATCATATCATATCATATGTCTTTCATGTGCTGCATGCTTTACCAGATTGCTGTTATGTAACACTAATGCACAAAAAAAAATAAAGAATGAAAAAAAAAAAGAAAGAAAAAAAAAAAAAATTTGCCCACACCCTCAGACTTGAAGTAGGGAATTAGTGGATATCTCCCAGCATGTAATATTGCTGCATTGACACCAATAAGCCTCTATCGGGCTGCCAAGTCACCCCTAGTTCACGTTGGGGCTCTCTTATTTAGGGCCAAGGAGCAATGAGTATAAAAAAAAAAAAAAATATTTTAAAAACAAAACACACACACACACACACACACACACACACGCCACTCTTGGAAACCGAACTTGTTAAAGACCCAAATCTTGGATCCCACTAGCCACATCCCATACAGCACACCTAGTTACTGTAACATGACCACGTATGCACAATTACCCCCCCCCCATTCACAATCTACCCCCAGCCCTGTACACGATTATACATCCACCTTCTTATAGGTATTGTACCTTCCTGCGGTGACAGTAAGGATCTTGGTCCCAGTCTCGGATAGGACTTAAGACATTCACCGAGGGCTCCCCTTACGCCCACCAGTGTTCGAGTCAAGTTCATTCCATTTCATTACACCCCACCCTTTATTTTCTGAGTTTATTTATAAATAGTTAACTTAATTTCGAACCTCTTCTCCACACAATAGATAGGGACCTAACCTCATGGAATAAACCCCAATTCGGCTGGCTGTGTCAAATATTCTAAAAATTAATACCCTACCGAAAATCTTGTACCTTCTTCAAACCCTTGCCATACATCTCCTCAAATCCATCGTCTTTAACCCCTTAGTGACTGCAAACGTACAGGGTAAATCAGACAAAAAAAACGGTCATTACCGACTGCTGACGTACCCTGTACGTCCTCGGCAAATACGAGCGTTTTGTTTCAAAGCTGTTGTATGCAGCAGACACATGCAAAAATGTGGTTCTTCGTTGAGCTTATTTGCATATGCCTACCCAGAATCCCTTGCAGTAGTGAGAGCACTGTTAAAGTGAGATTTCTGTTGTAAAGGCAAGTCTTATGGCTTGGCTGGTGTGTGTATTTGTGTTTAACATTGCATTAAAATATTATATATCTCGTCATATAAGTATTTTTTTGTGTATATATATATATATATATATAAAATTTTACTTGGTAGACTTCACTGAACACAAATATTAGTGTTTCAAAACAGTAAAATTTATCACAGCGATGATATGGTCAGTGCAAGTGACTTTTTTGCATTTTTTTCACACACAAACGGCACTAATTATATCATTGTTGTAACACGTTTTACTGTTTTGAAACTCTAATATTTGTGTTCAGCAAAGTCTTTTGAGTATAACAGTGTTATTGAAAGTTACAGGGTCAAATATAAGGCTTGATTTTCTGTTTTTTCACGTTGAAATTTGCCAGGCTGGTTACGTTGCCTTTGAGACTGTATGGTAGCCCAGGAATGAGAATTACCCCCGAGATGGCATACCATTTGCAAAAGAAGACAACCCAAGGTATTGCAAATAGGGTATGTTTTTTAAATTTTTAACACACAAACAAATATAAATGCTAACTTTGGCCAGTGTTTGTGACTAAATGGCTAAAAAAGACTGGACATACCCCAATATTGAATACCCTGGGTTGTCTACTTTGAAAAAATATGTACATGTGAGGTGTGTTTAAGAGATTTATGACAGATAACAGTGTTACAATGTCATTATTGATACATTTTAAAAATGTATATTTTGAAACAGCAATGTCCTACTTGTACTTATAGCCCTATAACTTGCAAAAAAAAAAAAAAAAAAGCTGAGAACATGTTAACATTGGGTATTTCTAAACTCAAGACAAAATTTTGAAACTATTTATCACAGGTGTTTTTTGGCAGTTGTAGATGTGTAACAGATTTTGGAGGTTAAAAAAGTTTTTTTTTAAAAAAGTGTTTTGTTTTTTTTAAATTGTTGCATCATATTCTATATTTTTTTTTATAGTAAATTATAGGATTTGATGAAAATAATGGTATCGTTAGAAAGAGCATTTAATGGCTAGAAAAACGGTATAGGATATGTGTGGGTACAGTAAACGTGTAAGAGGAAAATTACAGCTAAACACAAACACCGCAGAAATGTAAAAACAGCCCTGGTCCCAAACGGTAAGAAAGTTGAAAAGCGGTCTGGTCACCAAGGGGTTAAAATTAAAAAATTCTTCACTAAATTTGTATGGGCCCACAAACATCCCAAACTCTCTCTCAACCTACTAACATGACCGAAAACACAGGGAGGGACTCTGCTTGCCCAACATAGGCCTCTATCACAAAGCGATTATATTAATCAGAATATATGAATGGACCAATCCGACACCACAGACACAATGGGTGCTATTGGAGGACTCATTCTTTCTGATACCACAACACATGAACCCTTGGCACAAGACAGGAACCACTTTTCCCCGTCCAAGCCGAACCCCTCATCTTACTATTACCCCAACCCTCCACATGTGGAACATAAAAAAAAAAAAAATATACAAAAAATTACCATCCATAGCCCCATTCCCTTTTCCACTACACCCACTGACAGGTAAGCCCTTATTTCCACCAGGTATACCCACACACTCATCCGATTGTTTTGTTTTTTTTAAAGTCCCTGGCACAACAGCTTATCTTAGTTTTACGTCAGTTCTGGACAGACACTTAGTTAAACCGCTCGACGATCTGATGAAATCAACCCAACCTCTAGTCCTCCAAACTTACAAATACGTCCAACTATCCCACTTCATACACTCCACGGAGAACGTTCTCAAAGGCTCACGCACATTTTCAAACTTTGAAACATACTGTACTTCTCGCATCCTCAAGCGCAAACACCTTTCTATATTATACAAAACGTTGCACGAGGAACACAAGGGACAGTTACGTTACTTCACCACTTCTTAGGACCAGGAGCTAAATATCAACTTATGACAAAGAGAATGGGCAATGGTATTTAAGCAGATTCATACATCGACAGTATGTAACACCCCGCAAGAAAGTCACTATAAGAGTATATTGCGATGACACAACTCACCATCTATATTACATAGCCTTTTCCCAACAACTGTAGATACCTGTTGGAGATGTAATCAGCCTGGGGGCACCTCTGCCCAAATTTGGTGGCTATGCCCCAATATCCAAGCTTACTGGTCAAGGATAGGATCATTGATTGAAGCTATAGTGGGAATCTGCATGAATCTTACTCCGATAACAACCGTATTCCTACTACACCAGACTCCATGTCCTAAACCTAAAAAAAACCTAATATTTCACTTATTGTCGGCAGCGAACCTGCTCATTCCAGGTTCATAGGGAATGGATACAAAGGGTTGAAACGATTAGGCTAATGGAAGAGATTAACACCTCCTTATCCCATAAATACCATTTTTACGCAGCCACTTGGGAACTGTGGTTGAAGTTTCTGATGGACAACCCGGGAACGTAACAAACTCACATCAGCCACTTGTCACTACGCCTTTCTCATTGGCTTCAGTGGTGCTCTATGCTTTGGTGCCACAGTATATCGAAACACACATAACATTGTGGTAACATATAGCTCATGGAATGTGAGTTACCCTCTCCCCCCTCTCCTAGCAGAGCAACAGATAGGCCCGAGTGGGGCTCCTGGGACTGATGTAGTTCCCACAGTTATTGTTACATTATCATATATTAATATGTGAATTACCAAGCAAATTGGTTGTACACCTAACCGATACACGGGCTCCAGTATCTCCTACCTCACCCATGAGAGGGTCCTTTTGATGATCGAAAGCGAGAAATGGCCCCAATCTGAGTGAAACCCACCCAAAGAATATACTGGGACCCCAACAGTTTCCATCCATACCAAATGCACATGGTATCATCATACGCTGGAAAGTACAATGTAATATGTTCGATCATGTATTATATTGAGGGACCCACCTTAATGGCTTAGAGTATTGCTTATACACTGTACTGCCATGTTTACCGCATTAAGATAACTCTACTGCAGAATACATGAATTTATTCTCTGTAAATACCAATAATTTACAATATTTTCAACTTTATGTACTACATGACTATGTAATGTTATAAAAAAAAAAAAAAAAATACAGTTTGGATAGAGATCAGGAACACACAGCTATTCTATCTCCCAGAATTCCCTGCTCGTCCATCATTACACAACTCCCAGAACCAACGGCTATTCCATTCGTTTTATACCCTTTGCGATTCCGTCTCCCAGAACCCTCTATTGTGCTGTCCCTTTTACAGGACTCAAAATTTACACTTGCCAATAGCCTCTGGCAAGTGAATATTTAGCCCTGGCAAGTAGAAATTTAGCTCTGCTCAGCATGACATGGACTCTCCAGGGTTTAAGTGTGAAAAACTTTCACTTGGCTAGTAGCATAGAACCTACAAATGTAAGCACTGCCCTTAATACCCCCTGCTATTCCTTCACCCAAAATCCTATGTTACCATCCCTTTAATACCACAAGTTACTCCATCTCCCAGAATCCTCTGCTCTTCCATTCCTACACAACCCCCAGCTATTACATCCCATGGGGTCTTGCAGTGTCTAGTTCTGCATCCCCCCCTCCCCCTGCCCCTGGATTTGTGGATCTTTCTGGTTACATGTCTGTGGCTGCTCACTTACTGATCTGAAGCTGGCGTTTGATCCTCTTGACATTTCTCTCTTTGTACTCGGTTTGCGCAGTGTTACACTGATTAATAAGCTCAATGAACTTCTTAGACAGCACCCCATGCTACGAGAGACAAGGAGAGAGCGCACGTAAGAAAGTGACAAAGCTAGGCAAACAGTGTGCGAGAAAGAGTAAGATTGTATCTAAAACAGCAACAGAGAATATGCACATAAAACACAGACAAGGTGTGAGAGAGAGAGAGAGAGAGAGAACGAGAGAACGAGAGAGAGAACGAGAGAACGAGAGAGAGAACGAGAGAACGAACGAGAGAGAGAACGAGCGAGCGAACAAGAGAGAGAACGAGCGAGCGAACAAGAGAGAGAACGAGCGAGCGAACAAGAGAGAGAACGAGCGAGAGAGAGAACGAGCGAGCGAGAGAACGAGCGAGCGAGAGAACGAGCGAGCGAGAGAGAGAACGAGCGAGAGAGAGAACGAGCGAGAGAGAGAGAGAACGAGCGAGCGAGAGAACGAGCGAGCGAGAGAGAGAACGAGCGAGCGAGAGAGAGAACGAGCGAGCGAGAGAGAGAACGAGCGAGCGAGAACGAGAGAGAGAACGAGAGAGAGAGCATGCGCGAGAGAGCGAACACGTAAAACAAGGACAAGGAAACGTGGATAAGTCTCCATCCATGAGAAATTCACCACAAGGGACAGAGAGAGAATCATAAAAGAATTTGTGTTTTGGATGTAAAAGACAATAACACCAACAGACAGCCCAAGCAGAGACAGAAACACTTTTTTCTAAGAGACAGTCTAACAAGAGATAATTGTTATCCTAGAGAAATATGAAATCAGAGTGTGTCTGTGAACCAAGTGGATAGTGTACAAGTAATATGTGAAGAAGCACTGAGTGTGGTACACTCACACAGAAAGTACCTGCGTTCTTCTCATTCGAATATGGACATTAGTCATGACCAACTCTTCATCCTCCTTTACCTGGATCTCTGGAACAGACAGACATTCGAAGAGGGTGAAGTGAGTCAGAGTGGGGAAGATGAAAGAGGAGAGATATTATAGGCAGGACAGGCAAGAATAGAGGAACAGCCAGATCAGGCAAACATCCAGTGGTTTTAAGATGAATACACAGTACAGGCACAGAGAGCATAAAGGTAGACGAATAGTGTAAAAAGAGTGACTGGTAAAATGAAATCAAAGACACTGAGCTGGATGGAGCCAGGACCAAAAAACAGCTACATTATCATCAGAAGAAACAGAGAATAAAATGTGTTATATTTTGTACATGAAGGAAACTATAATAAGGTCAAAAAAAAAAAAAAGGAGGTGACACGGGAAAGAGAGGACAGACTCCAAGACTGGACGAGGAGCTTACTTTGCAATTTAGCGCGAATGTCCTTGGCTAAACGTTTTATCTCCCCTCGAAGATTTTCCAAGTCTCTCTTCATATCTAAAGAAAGAGAATAGATTCACTATAAGCAGCAATTGCACACAATCTTCTTGGACCAATGCAGAACCTACAGGGCCAATTTCTTCTCTAGTTGGAACATGATTTCTGCTTCTTATGTGACACACATGGCTGATGGCTTGGTACACTTGTGTACAATGTCATGTTTACGTATCCCTCGGTATGTCAAAAGACCAATGACTGACATGTTCCTTTTAGGCGGTGACTGGAGGTGTGACCGGGGGCATGGTTACTCCAGGGCATTTTAGGCGACTTCATGATCTACTGATTTACATAACTGAAAAGGTAACTTAGAACTAGATCCAAGTATCTGATTTACACAGACTGATTTCTGTGAATTTTACTGCTGTGAAGCTCTCTTATACCAGCAGACCTAACAAACATTCTGAACTTTTGGGAAAAAAAATGACGTTGAAAATTAAGCTCAAAATAAGGTAAAACAATGAAGGCTCTGATTCAGATGTCACAGAATTGACCAGTGGATCAGTGCCCAAAAGGCCCTGAGATTACTCTCCTTAAACGGGGAATAACCCACGAAAATAACAATATATAGAAATGGGACTAGAAAGTCCTGGGCAGGAGAGTAATAGAATGGGGAAGGGATCCCTACCTTTAATAATCCTAAGGGAAGACAGGGTAAAATAGGGAGACTGAGGTAATGAGAGGAATGTGTAATTACACATCCAAAAACCAAAATCAATATCCAGCTGAGAAATAAACTCCCTGACAGGTCCTCTAACTGGGATACAAGTCTAGGCCGTGTGTGATCTAAGCCTCATGGATAGAATACACAGGTAGACAGAGGTACAATAGCGAAAAACTGGGCTAAAATGAAGGTGAAAATACCTCTGTAGGGGGATAACCACCCAAAACTACACCCAGACAGGAACCACTGGAAATAGTTTAGTGTCCCTATTTACCTCGGCACTCTTTCACTTCTTTATTTTAGCCCAGTTTTTCGCTATTGTACCTCTGTCTACCTGTGTATTCTATCCATGAGGCTTAGATCACACACAGCCTAGACTTGTATCCCAGTTAGAGGACCTGTCAGGGAGTTTATTTCTCAGCTGGATATTGATTTTGGTTTTTGGATGTGTAATTACACATTCCTCTCATTACCTCAGTCTCCCTATTTATATATATCCCTGTCTTCCCTTAGGATTATTAAAGGTAGGGATCCCTTCCCCATTCTATTACTCTCCTGCCCAGGACTTTTTAGTCCTATTTCTTGCTTTCTATATATTGAGCTCAAAATAAGTTCAGCTGATCCACCCTAGAACACTATTCTTTCAGTAATTTCACCTTTCTATACTAAATGTTGGGCCCATGGTCTCTTTATTATCACTTTATGAAATATCATTCCAGCCCAGGCCACTAGGTGGTGCATACAAACCGTCCTCAGGAAGTGGCATTGTGAGAATTTTCACTTGGCTGGCTTCCAACTGCTTCACCTTATCTTCCAGGAGCTGCAGCGAGTTTCTGATGTCCTGAGTCTAAAACAAAAAAACCCCACAAGTAATTAAAAATACAGCATAGTCACTGAGAAACATGTCATAGCATCCACCCAGATCAGCTTATCGTCTCCAGATCAGTGCGCAGGACAGGGAGACACAAAACATTAAAGGACCACTATAGGCACCAAGACCACTTCAGCTTAATGAATTGGTCTGGGTGCCAGGTCCAGCTAGGATTAACCCTGCCTGCTGTAAACATAGCAGTTTCAAAGAAACTGCTATGTTTACATATGGGTTAATCCAGCCTCTATTGGCTGTCTCATTGACTGCCGCAAGAGGCGCTTCCGCGCTTCTCACTGTGATTTTCACAGTGAGAAGACGCCAGCGTCCTGTGAATGCTTTCCTATGAGACTGGCTGACTGCACTTGCCGCGCATGCGCATTCAGCCGAGGAGGTGGAGAGTCCCCCGTCCGGCACTGGAGAAAGAGGTAAGTTTAACCCCTTCCTCAACCTAGAGCCCGGCAGGAGGGGGATCCTGAGGGTAGGGGCACCCTCAGGGCACTATACTGCCAGGAAAACGAGTATGTTTTCCTGGCACTATAGTGGTCCTTTAAAGTATTAATTAATAAATCGTATTAAGTTGAAAACAAAATGAATCCTAAGAAAGCCAGGCTGAGACTCTAGATAGTTTGGGGAATTATTAAAAGTCAGTTATTTTAGCCTAAATTTTGACAATTCACCGTTAAGTGAATAAAACCCCTGACAGACATTGTGGGAAGAATACAAGCACTGTCTGTAGGTTCTATGTATTATTTTAACTAACCTGTCTGATATAGAGCTGATCCCATTCTTACATATATAATTTGTAGGTAGTGAAGGTAAGTTAGTGTAAAATTTATTCTCCACACTTCACCCCAATAAGTTCTTTGATAGCATTGTTGGAAAAAAATATGTACAGCCTGAAGCCCACCACTAGGTGGCAGTATGGCAAACAGGAGAGTTGCACTGCTGCCTTTACTGACCATACGACTAATGTGGACCTAGCAATGCTGCAGTGGCCCATCAAGGCCTATTATCCCAAAGGAAGAAGCAGCGTTTAGAATTACCGTTTCCAATAATTGGGCATTTTTGTCGTCTCCTTCTTTGCTTCCATTTGCTGCTGAATTAAGAAAACCTCTGCTCTCCTCATTTTCAGAGCCGCTGTCATTCTGGGACAAAAATAAAAATATGACTTGAGGAATGTGCAATGAGAGCAAACACAGAGCCCAGCGACAGGACTGATAACTTACAGTGAAAGTACACAGAGCCCAGCGACAGGACTGATCACTTACAGTGAAAGTACACAGAGCCCAGCGACAGGACTGATCACTTACAGTGAAAGTACACAGAGCCCAGCGACAGGACTGATCACTTACAGTGAAAGTACACAGAGCCCAGCGACAGGACTGAACACTTACAGTGAAAGTACACAGAGGGAATAAACAAGAAAACAGAAATATGAGCATAAAGGCACTCGAAAGGAAAGAAACTGTACAATGGAATCAATTAATATAGAAAACAGCAACGACAATCATTTTTAATGCCTTCATTTACTGCAAATCCCTTAACTCTGCGCTCCCCACAAGCAGCATGGCCAGTCGGTAGGCTTTCATTCTAATCTATGAAATCAGCACTACTAGGGTGAAACTGCATGGGTTGATTAGCACAATGTCCCAGCTCTCTCCAGGGACTTCAGTTATTAGTTTTCAGTTCATGAAAACAGTTGAACTACAATTCCCAGGTAGCAATGAAAGAAGAGCACTGCCCCAGCATTGTAACCCTGCCACTCTCTGCCATTTACGAGTTAAATCCCTTTGTTTATGCAGCCCTAGCCACATCTCCCCTGGCTGTGACACACACAGCCTCCCAACACATTTTATTCCAGTCTGCTGCTGGCTCTGCCTCTGATCTGCCTGCTTGGCTGACATGATCAGAAGTGATTGTCTTAGCCAATCACTTAGAAAAGCATTGGATTGGATGAGAAGGTCAAGGGAGCAGATCAGAGGCATAGCCAACACACGCCAAACACAGCCTTGGCCAATCAGCATCTCCTCATAGAGATACATTTAATAATTTTTTCGCTATGAGGAAAGTTCAGTCTCTGCATTCAGTGGGTGGAGACACTGAATGGCAGTCACACTGTGCAGCACTGCCCCAGGAAGCACCTCTAGCAGTTATCTGAGGAGTGGCAAGTGGAAGTATCACTAGGCTGTAATGTAAACACTGCATTTTCTCTGAAACGACAGTGTTTAACAGTAAAAAGCCTGGAGGGAATAAATATACTCACCAGAACAAGTACAATAAGCTGTAGTTGTTCTGGTGACTATAGTTTCCTTTTAACTCATTAGATAAATCCAGGATGGATCAATTCATCCTGGTGTGGATTAAAAGGAATTTGATTTACACAAACCGGTCCAAACAAATGTTTGCAAAAGTCTAATGGATGCTGTGCGAATCACAGTCAGGAGAGGTGTGACTTTGGCTGCATAAACAGAAACAAAAGTGATTTAACTGCTAAATGGCAGAGAATTGAGCAGTGAGACTTCAGAGGCATGATCTATACACCAAAACTGCTTCAGTAAGATTGAGTTATTTTGGTGCTAAGAAATGGTAACAACTGTGTCAGTGATTTGAGTGTCTCTTTGTGAAATTTCCATAGAATTGACAGTTCTGCCCAATTACATAAAATATAGAAAATCAACTATACATTGTGTTAATCTTCATTTCACGTGACGCTCTCTTTTCTGTTGCAATGTATATTAAGGATATAACACTATATCACTGTCAGCCCAGTCGCAGCTATGGCATACAATGCAAATACCAAGAACAGGAACAATGAGTTCTGTGAAGTGATGGTTAGATTCAGACTTATTTATTATTGTCGTCTAAGAATTATGGTTTTCTTTATAGTAAATTCCACCAGTTTTATCTGAAATTTCCATTTGAGAAGACAAAAAAAAGCAACAGTTGAAAAAAAACAAAACAGATTTAATAAACTGTGACAAAATAAGCAAAAATTAGACATAAAAGTGTCAGCAACATTTTGATAAATCTCCCCAATGTTTCTGTTTTCCTTCTTCCTCTAAGATTTTTTTAAAAACAGAACACCAGGGAGTCAGTATGTAAACGCCCAGGTCCAGGATTTCTGGGGATTTCTATATTCAAATCAGATGTTTCAAATCTCATAAAAATAAGTAACCAAAATTTGGGGAAGTGACAGTTTGGCTTCTCTTAAACGTAGGATTTAGAGACATAATGGAGGTTATGAATGAGACACAAAGCAGGGTTAGAAATCACCCTAAGGCAGCACAATTGGGGGGCACCAATGACCAGTAGAGTTACAGCAGGGGTAGTAAAGAGAAGCACTTATTTGGTGAGACTATGTTACAAGAAGCAGCAACATTCTATTAAATCATAATGCATAGGTGAGAGAAATCAGGAATGAAAATGCATATTAGAGGGAGGCAGGAGACAGCGCAGTAATTAGACAGACTGTAAGATGAGAGGGATTTTATAGGATGGGAGTGCTGTATGTTTGAAGTAAGCTGTAGGTGTACCAGGGCTGCGTGTGTTTATGGGTTAGTTGGGAATTGTAAGGGGCATGGCGCTTTGTGAGGAAAAGGAAAGAAACAGATTAAAATGTTTCATGTTAAACTGATAAAATGAGTTGCGGATATTATAAGAAGCAATGTTCGGGGATTGAGAGATAGCTGACATTTCTTTAAAGGGTTATTAAGCGGTCACGTCACTAGTGCGGAGGGTCAGGGCAATAAAAAGGTTAATGTACTAAAGAGTAGATTGCGGTTGAAAGACAAGGTGAGGTTGATAGAATGGAGAAAGCTGAATGAAAGGTGGAGGAAGGGGATCTGCTAGATATAAGATGATAGTAATACGTATAGACGTGGCGCGGAGTAGGAAGAATGAATGTATTTAAAAAGAGGTTAAAGAAGGGAAGACGTGCATGGGATTCGCTGCACGGTAAGTGACCGCCATGTCGCCGGGCACTATAGGTTAATGGGAGTGAGAATAGCAATTTCAGTGGTTATGGTACATGGCATGGTATCAGGATTGGTACAGACTGGCAGAGGGTTATTTAGTAATAATTAATAAATACAGGGCTGGAAATGGGGAGAAAATGAGTAAAATAGAAAGTTATAGCAGGGAATAGAGAGGCAATGCTGGGATCACATGGGGAGGGGTAGAGCTCCATCTGTTACAGGACTACAGCTCCCATGATGCTCTGCCAAGCAGGGCATTGTAACTCCATGCAATGGCTCTTACATTCCCCAGCTCGGTGGTCCGGTCCCTCATGCCGCCCTGTGCTCTGTATTAGCGCTGTGTCCTCGCTATTACACACTCTGTGCACTTTATTTCTACTTCTGCTACAGCCGTCCGCGCATGCGCACTCCGCCCTCAGCGCACCCTGGACTACTCCACCATCGAGACTAGAGAGAGAGGGATAGAGGGGCAGGGGCGGGGCATGCTGGGATACGGGAGGACTGGCTGCTGCAGTGGCTCCCAGTGTGCTGTGTGCAGGCTGAGTGTACATGTAATGTGTGCAGGCTGAGTGTACATGTAATGTGTGCTGGGTGCAGGCTGAGTGTACATGTAATGTGTGCTGAGTGTACATGTAATCTGCTGTGTGCAGGCTGGGTGTACATGTAATGTGTGCAGGCTGAGTGTACATGTAATGTGTGCAGGCTGAGTGTACATGTAATGTGTGCAGGCTGAGTGTACATGTAATGTGTGCAGGCTGAGTGTACATGTAATGTGTGCAGACTGGGTGTACATGTAATCTGCTGTGTGCAGGCTGGGTGTACATGTAATGTGTGCAGACTGGGTGTACATGTAATCTGCTGTGTGCAGGCTGAGTGTACATGTAATGTGTGCAGACTGGGTGTACATGTAATCTGCTGTGTGCAGGCTGGGTGTACATGTAATCTGCTGTGTGCAGGCTGGGTGTACATGTAATGTGTGCAGACTGGGTGTACATGTAATCTGCTGTGTGCAGGCTGGGTGTACATGTAATCTGCTGTGTGCAGGCTGGGTGTACATGTAATCTGTGCTGTGTGCAGGCTGGGTGTACATGTTATGTGTCCTGTGTGCAGACTGGGCGTACATGTAATGTGTGCTGGGTGTACATGTAATGTGTGCTGTGTACAGGCTGTGTGTATATGTAAAGTGTGCTGTACATGTGTCTGTGCGTTATGGCTGACATTACAGGTGTAATACCTGACGTGTGCCAGCCTGTGATATATAGTGCTCCCCCTCCATATTGTCTTCTCCAGAAAATTCCCAATCTGCACACCTCCCAGTCACTCCCAAAATATGGAGTAATTATGCCCTGTATCAAAATATGAGTAATCATCCCCTGTATCAAAATATGGAGTAACCATCTCCTATATCAAAATATGGAGTAACCATCTCCTATATCAAAATATGGAGTAACCATCTCCTATATCAAAATATGGAGTAATTATCCCCTGGATCAAAATATGGAGTAATCATCCTCTGTTCAAAATATGGAGTAATCCTCCCCTGTATCAAAATATGGAGTAATTATGCCCTGTATCAAAATATGGAGTAATCATTCCCTGTGTCAAAATATGGAGTAATCATAACCCTGCGTCAAAATATGGAGTAATCGGGGGAGCGAAGGGACCGGAGGAAGGGGATCACCCTACACGACTGCAATAACTGCTCACACTCATGCACAACGACAGTTTCCCACCGGGCTTAGATCCCAACGCATTCAGAGACCTACTTCGACACAAGACACCTAGACTACACCACCACCTAGATGGAACGCACTGCAAAACACTCCCGACCCTATAAGAGGGCTCAACCCCCACCCTTTTACACCACCTCAAATACAGACAGCTACAGAGTTATGTCCATACTCTCCCAGGGGGCACGGCACGGAAACGGGACCCCACCACATTCAAAAGACTGTGTATGGACCCAGACCCACAACCGCACAGGATCTCACTCATTTACTCCATGCTACAAAGGGAAACTCCAACGGAGAAACACAAATTCATGGGGAGATGGAAACAAACACTGCTACCTAACGCATCACTGCTCAGTCTTCAGCAGGACGCAGGAAACGGCGTTTAAACTGCTGACGAACTGGTATCGCACCCCAACCGTACTCCATGCCATAGACCTGGAACACACAGACCTCTGCTGGAGGTGCAATAAGGAAGCCGGCACCGCGCTCCACTTATGGTGGGAGTGCGAGGCCATACAGCCCTTCTGGCGGGGCATACATGGCTTTTTTCAAAACTTTCTCTGACACGCCCCTCCCTTCCTCCCTGAAAACATGCTCCTACACCATACAAAGTCGCCTAGATCCCGATATAAACACTCACTCACCATCAGAATCTTAAATGTAGCCAAACAAGTGATCCCTCAATTCTGGAAGCAAACAATAACGCCCCCGTTGACAACTTGGTTCACCCAAATGGAGGAACTAAGAACCATAGAGGAACTCATCATGAACACATCCAATCCCCCAGACAGGTACTCGGGAATCTGGACCCACTGGATACTGACCACTACTAAGGCAGAATTCACAAATAGACTCAAATACAACACGTAGAGGACGAGGAGGCGGGGCCAAATAGCTCGACAAAATAGAAGACAAACTGGACAGACGTGACCCAGACAGAGACGCACCCCCGCCCCTCCCCAGACAACCCTTAACCCTGAAACCCCCCCAACACTACACATAAGCAGACAAGAACAAGGCATACAAATACACAAGCCCAACGGAATACCACCGACGGGAGGTACACGGAATAGCACCACTGAACCCGAACCCACATAGTCTATCAGAACCAGGACACGCAGGGATACGGGGAAAAAAACAAAGGCACGCCACTGCCGCCAGCGGGGCCATATCCACACACCCTGAGCTCCTGAAGACAGATAACTGACCTACGGCACGTGGGCAGATCACAACCCATCGGGCATAACACACACCATCCGACGCCCCCATACCTTACCCGAAAGATTGCTACCTACCATGGGCCCGCGAGCTGCCACTACGAAGACAAGCAAGAGACCCGCGGGTCTCACGATAGCTTACATCAAGTCGAATTGACAATGTGCACAATCAAAACCAATGCCTTCTTTACCATGAGACGCATAAAAATATACATGGACACACTTGCTTCTTGGGCATTCATTAGAAGAATTATATGAGAAACACTTTTTCAACAAGAGTTAAAAGAGCGGCTAATCCCTCATCCCGAGGATGTGGAAACAGCCAAGAGCGCCCACCTTGGGGCAATGGGTGGCGGCAGTGGAGTACGTATACTCAATGGAAACCCTGACGGCCGACCTCCACGGGAGACCGGATCGATGCGCATTGACCTGGTATCCATGGACCACATACGTGGCGGATAGAACAAGGGCCTCCGAACCAACCTAGCTGAAACGCACACAACATCCCGACAAGCACCTCACACCCCATAGGCACAGACACAACCCACCCAACTACCACACACAGACAACTGACAGGTTTCCCCCCGACCAAAACTGACACCCGAACGGCATAACACCGACCGGGTCAACCTACCCACCCTACCAGGACCTGGAGCAATCCAGGACGGACAACCTAACGCAACCGGACGCACAGAGACAGGTTTGAGACACGGGAACACTGGACCCCAGACAAACGATGAGACCCCTAAGCTCACGCACCACACCCAGAGCACCGCACCTACAGTTAGTTCACTGCCTCTAAGTTGTATGAAAGCTCCCCCCGTACCTGCGACACATAGGCAACCCCCCAGACGACTAGCACGTCACTTAGCACCGCGGTCTGCAGTAGGGACGATTTAGCCTAGGTCGACGGACCCCAACCGGGGAACCGTGAACGAAATAACTGGGTCCAATGGTACACATAGCATCCTAAGTAGCATTGTACACCTAAGAGATAACGCCCGATGGATACAACAGAAGCCGGGGTGGTGTCCCAGGGATAGCGTATGATACACGGACAGCTAAAATCGCAGTCTTGATAAGACAGTCGTTGCAAAGACCTGGACCCAGTCCTAGCTCCGTAAGAGCGCTAAGTACCTGTAGGCGAAAGCCATGATAGCCAGGGGGGTCAATAGAGGTAACCCACAGACGGGTCTATGTTGCTGCTGGAGCAAAACCTAGTTCGCACTAAGTTGTTCAATCTGACTAAATGTACCTCATCAGACTGACCAATGTTACACTATCTTTTCCGAAAAACTGAAAAATAAAGATTGTCAAAAAAAAAAAGAGCGGCTACGCTAGGTTATTCGGGGAAAGACGGAGTCATGTGCTCGATAGTGGGCCTCCAATTAGGAGGTCTGACTCCAGCGATAGTTTTGATAATAGTGGTAGTGTGATTACCCTCATTCCTGGTGGGGTGGAGGCCATGACTGAGGCCTGCAAGCCAAAAAAGCTGTACACTGAAACAGGGGCCTGCGAGCCCACACTGTCCTGAACCATTGCTTTCTTTTTGTCATTTCTACCCGAGACCTGCGTGTCTCCTTGTTTTACGCTACATGCTTGGCATACATGTTCAATGACATGCACCGAAAATAATAAAAAGTATATTTACAAAAGAAAATAAAGAGTACTCATTCCCTGCGTCAAAATATGGAGTAATTATCCCCTGTGTCAAAATATGGAGTAATTATCTCCTGTGTCAAAATATGGAGTAATCATCCCCTGCGTCAAAATATGGAGTAATCATCCCCTGTATCAAAATATGGAGTACTTATCCCCTGTGTCAAAATATGGAGTAATTATCCAATCTGTCAAAATATGGAGTAATCATCCCCTGCGTCAAAATATGGAGTAATCATCCCCTGCATCAAAATATGGAGTAATTATCCCCTGTATCAAAATATGGAGTAATCATCCCCTGTATCAAAATATGGAGTAATCATCCCCTGCATCAAAATATGGAGTAATCATCCCCTGTATCAAAATATGGAGTAATCATCCCCTGTATCAAAATATGGAGTAATTATCTCCTGTATCAAAATATGGAGTAAACATCCCCTGTGTCAAAATATGGAGTAAACATCCCCTGCGTCAAAATATGGAGTACTTATCCAATCTGTCAAAATATAGAGTAATTATGCCCTGTATCAAAATATGGAGTAATTATCCCCTGTGTCAAAATATGGAGTAATCATCCCCTGCATCAAAATATAGAGTAATCATCCCCTGCATCAAAATATGGAGTAATCATCCCCTGCATCAAAATATGGAGTAATTATCCCCTGTGTCAAAATATGGAGTAATCATCCCCTGCGTCAAAATATGGAGTAATTATCCCCTGTGTCAAAATATGGAGTAATCATCCCCTGCATCAAAATATGGAGTAATTATCTCCTGTATCAAAATATGGAGTAATCATCCCCTGTGTCAAAATATGGAGTAAACATCCCCTGCG